AGGTGCTGGGACTGGCTGAGCTTCTCTGCCCTAGGAGCCTGGGATGGAGGCAGGGAGCTTCCTTCCAGGTGCTGGGACCAGCTGAGCTTCACTGCCCTAAGGAGCCTGGGATGGAGGCAGGGGAGCTTCCTTCTGGGTGCTGTGACCGGCTCCCCTTCTTGGCCCTAGGAGCCTGGGATCAGTTCTTTAACTCTTTAGTTCATTTATTCAAACACACTTCAACCACTTGCTAAACTAGGCATTGAGTGTAGGGAAGAGCTCCCCTACAGGTAGAAGCAGGGAAGTTGCAATCTGGACTGTAAATTTGAGAACAGAAGTCTGAATGGAGCTGGCGTGGGGCATCTTGACTGTGGTCCAGAGAGGAAGTGGCCTTTGACCAAGGAACTGAAGGATAGTAGAAGCTTACCAGGTGGACACAGGGAGTCTTATAAAGGTTCATGATCATAAAGCCAGTCTAAGGAACTGGGAAGGGAAATGGGGAAACTAGCAGGTTTTCCAGATTTGTTTTTTTTAGGAGGCTATATAGCTCTGAAATTAGTGAGTAGAATGGGAGCAAGAGTGAGAGAGTAAGTTAGACCTCGGCTGGGTGTGGTGGTACACACCTGCAATCCCAGCTACTCGGGAGTCAAAAGAACCCCAAGTTCAAGGCCAGCCTGGGCAACTTAGACCCTGTCTCAAAGTAAAAAGGGCTTGTGATATAGCACAACACTTTTGGGTTCAATCCTCAGTACCACCACCAAAAAAAAAGATAATAACTAGACATCAGAAGTGAGAAGGGTACAAGAGCTTGACAGTAAGTAGTAGCAAAAGGACTGGAGAGCCTATGCTGGATTTGTGAAGTCACTGTGATGTAACATGGTAGGGCCCTGTTGTTTGAGTGTGTTGAGGTCCAGGGCAGAGGGCATCTGTGAGAGTGAATTTGAGGAAGACCTTGAGGTTCCTAACTTGACAGACCATTGGATCTCATGAATATGTTACCAGAAGGCAGAGCAAGTTCTGGTTTAGAGTAAGGAGAAATGAGCGGCGGAAAACAAGGCTACATGATAGATCTAATTGAATATTCAGGTGGAAATTTGAGGCAAGCAGAAGTAAATGTAGAGGCAATATTGTGTAGTGATTGAGGGTACAAGCTTTGGGCTCAAAGCTAAATTAAAATCCAACTTTTGCCAGGTGTGGTGGAGCATGCCTGTAATCCCAGCACTTGGGAGGCAGAGGCAGGAGGATCGCTTTGAGTTCGAGGCAGCGTGGGCTACATAGTGAGTTCAAAGATGGCCTGAACTACATAGTGAGACCCTGTCTCAAACAAAAGGAAAAACCACAACCCCTCCTTTCAGATCATGTTATTGTGGGACCATTATTTAACTTCTCTGGATCTTTTCCCTCATTTGATCTTCAATTCCATTCTGTCTTGTAATATGTTCAAAATTATTACTTTATTTTTCCAGTACTGAAGATTGAACCCAGAGCATTTTCACAGAGCTGCATTCCCATCCCTTTTTATTTTTTATTTTGAAACAGGGCCTTGCTAAATTGCTAAGTTCCCAGGCTTGGCTAGAACGTGTGATCATCCTGCCTCAGTCTTCTTTTGTTTTTACTTGCCAGATAGCTATTTGCTCTTTTCATTTATTTTTATGCTTTCTTCATAATTTGGTTTTTCCTTTCTTCTCTCCTTCCTTCAGTCCCTCCCTCCCTACTTCCTTTGCTTCTCCTTCCCCTCCTCCTTCTCCTTCTCCTTCTCCTTTCTTCAGCATGTGCCGGGGCTTAAACCCCAGGCCTCTGAATGCTAGACAAGCACCCTACCCTAAGTTACCCTTACCCTCCACCCTTAGGTTTGCTTCTTTTAAACACCATAGCTAGGTGTTTTTGTCTTCAGCCAAATCCAAAGCCTTGGTGTCTGGTTCTCCCCCACCCCAATCCGCAGGCATTGGGGATTGAAGCCAGGGCCTCGCATAATGCTAGTTTCTCTGAGCTACATCCCCAGCCCTTTTCACTTTTTTTCAGACAAGGTCTTGCTTAGTTGCCCAGACTGGCCTTGAGCTTGTAGTCCTCGTGCCTCAGCCTCCTCGAGTAGCTGGGGTTACAGGTGTGTACCACCATGCCAGGCAAAATCTTCATTGAGCAGTAACATTGCTCTATTCCCCGAACGTTCCCTTTTTCTTTCTCTCATATGGCATGAGACCTGGCCTCCACCCATGCAGACCTGAACCTACGCTGGTTGTGAGGGGGTGGGTGAGGAACCACCCAGCCCTTAAGTACACTGAGTTCTCTCTCCTTGCTGTGTTCTTCCCATTAGCTGTATGCTCTCTGTAACAAGATACAAATTATTATGATTCACCACCATCATTTACACTTGGTGAATTCCTACTTGGTGCCATCACTCCGTTCAGTTCTTTATGTGTTACCATGAGCACACATAACAACCCTGTCAGGAATGGGAGGAATCAGAACCACAGAATCCTTTCTTGTTCAGTGATCAGTAGCTGGCAGGTGCCAGGGTGGAGATGGATCCAGACACTATGTTCTCTCTACCCCAGTGCCCTGCTTTTCATCTTAATCCCTCTCAGTAAAAAGTGTCACTGTCCTGAGTTTCTAAATGAATTCCAAACTGATAGTGCATTTCCCCTTAGTATGCCACTGACGTATTGTGACACTGTCATAAGAATATCTTGGTGGCAACAGCCCAGAATGGATTGGCTTGTATTTCAGGAGCGACTGTGGGTTTTCATTTCCTATGTTATAGTCCCATAATTCAGGCATAAATTTTAACTTTAAAAGAGTAGAGATATCCATCACAATATCTTGTGGTTTCAGGCATGTTATTCATGTATAAAGCTGCCTCTTTGTGAAATTAAGTGATTGTTCATGATTTGAGTACTGAATGACTTGTAATAGCCTGCTGGGGCTACCGTAACAGAACACCATGTCTTAAACAATAGACTAATTTTATTATCTCACAGACTTGGAGGCTGGGAAGTCTCAGATCAGTGTTTGGTTTAGTGTCTGGTGAGGTCATTCTTCCTGGCTTGTGGAGGGTCCCTTTGTCCTCCTGGGCTCCTTCCTCTGAGAACAAGCAAAAAGAGAAGGGAGCTCTCAAGTGCGTGGTCTTATGAGGACACTAATCTTATCCGATTAGGCCACCCTTAGGAACTCATTTGACCTTAATTACTTCTTAAGGGCCCTATTTCCAATACAGTTCCATTGGAGTTTAGAGCTTTGATGTATGAATTCTCATTTCTTAATGAAAAAATGTAGAAAGTCTTGAAATTATCTATCATGCATAGGAAATATTTTAAGTGTCTAAAACTGTTAGGATAAATTAACTTTCAATTCTTACTAAAATATTGAAATCTCTTATGTGTTCTCTTCCAGTCTAAATGATTGCATGATCTGTGCTTAGCAACGCATCATAGCACTCAATAGCATGCTCTGCCATACCAAGAAAGGGTTATTTTCTGTTTCATCATTGTTTGTCTAGTCACTATATGACCTTTTACAGACAGTTGTTTAAAGACAGTGGTGCAGGAAGAGCTCCACTTCCTGGTAAAAAACAGAAGTGGAACACAAATTTGAATAAAGAATTATTCTTCCTTCCGAAGATTATTTGGGGTAATAATGTCTACTCCAATTGTATAGCACAACCTTAAGAACACCTTTAACTTTCTGAATTGAAATAGTGATAATGAGAAGGATAATAGTAATAGCTAAACTTTACTAAATTTTTATTGAGTATTGCACAGAGAACTATTCTAACTACTCTGTCGTTGCTCTTTTAATCCTCACAGTGAACCTCTGAGGAAGTCCTATTTGTTTTTTTAAGACAGGGTCTCACTATGTAGTTCAGGCTGTCCTTGAACTCACTGTAGCCCAGGCTGGCCTTGAACTTCAGCCATCCTTCCCTCAGCCTCCGGAGTGTTGGGATTACAGGTGTGTGTCACCATGCCCAACGAGGAAGGTCCTTTTCTTGCTCACACCTTACCCTAACACAACTGATCCTAGGTAGGTAAACAGCTTACCCTAGCCCACAATTGGGGTTCTGTGAATCAGGAAGTCATAGTTCCCAATGAATCCAGAAATAATTAAGACCCTCGAATATGTTCAAGTTGTGAAGGGTAACAGTTTTTAAAATGACCTTTTCTACACAGAAACTAATTAGTATGTAAGAAATGCTAACATTTCTGGTGGTTATCACACTGGTGAGCTCAGAAAGCCATGGAGCTTGTGCAGATGACCATAAGGTACAGTGCTTCTTAACATCAACGGCTCACTTGTTTCACATCTACCTATGAGGCTTGTTAAAAATGCAGATTACTTATGTGAGGCTCCGAGTTCAATCCCCAGTACAGCTAAAACACACTCTCTTGTGTGCTGAGTCCTGTCCTGGAATTAGTAAATCCTAATGTGAGAATTGGAGCCCAAGAATTTGGATTTTAAATAGACATTCCCACCCAGCCTGCATCCCCCCACCCTGTACATCCAGAAGCTATTCTGACATGCATTACATTTATGAAGCTGCTGCCTTAAAGGATGGATCCGCTGGGATTAAAAATGATAGCAGTTTCCCACCAGGGCAGTAATAGGAGCAAAGATAGGGGAGAGGCACAATTTGTTAGGAAGTATGGAAGGAATCTGGTCTAATGAGAGTGAAGAGTTCTTTTGAAAGCAGTGAGGAGGAACGTCAAATAAGGATATCAGTATCAATGTCAGGATTGAGGACAAAGCATGCAACATATTATGCCTTATGTTTTGCCAAACTGGAGGTCTGTATTGGATCCGAAAAAATAGAATTCAGTGCATCTCCTGCTACTTCATTGTAGAATATTATCTTAAAAGGGAACAGCATGGTTGTACTTTCTCCCTGGCAATCTGAGGAAAGCAAAGGCTAGGCTTGATCAATACGAGATTGCAGAACCCATCTTTGTTAAATGAGAACTATTTACACAGCCCTGACTATTCAAAGTTTAAACCTACCTGTGTTGGATTTCCCCGCTTTCCCCTTGAAGCTGCACGAGAAATCGTCTGGCTAGAAAGAGAAGAGCGAGCCAGGCTACACTATGAGAAGCACCTGGAAGAGCGGAAGAAGAGGCTAGAGGAGCATCGGCTGAAGGAAGAGCGGAGGAGGGCTGCGGTGGAAGAGAAGCGGAGGCAGAGGCTAGAGGAGGACAAGGTGAGACAGCCCTCAGGGAAGGACATGGGAGTCCTGCTGTTTGCACAATGCACACACTTGCTGTGGAACTGTGCAGTCAGGTGTCAGGATGCAGAGGTTTCCGTGTAAGCAACTTTACACATGGGCACAGGTGCTAAGCTGAGTAGGTGGCAGGTAGAGAATGGACTGATTATTATTAACAATCACTCAGCCGTTAAGTGTTACCAGTTTTGGCAAAAATGGACATTTAGACTCAGAATGAGTGAGCTACACAAGGTCATATCACTCAATAAAGTCATGGAATCAGCATTTCTTATGCACATTCTCAATTCTGAATTTCACTTTTTTTTTTTTTTTTTGGTACCGGGGATTAAACTCGGAACCTTGTGCTTGCGAGGCAGGTGCCAGAACCACTGAGCTAAATCTCCGGCCCTGAATTTCACTTTTTAAATGTGGCACCATATGATTCCAGTGCAGTGGGGGCATGCCTATAATCCCAGCTACTTAAGAGGAGGATTGCGGGTTCAAGGCCAGCCTGGCCAACTTAGTGAGGATTCTGTGCCTCGCAATTTAAAATTTTTTAAATGTTAGAGATATAGCTCAGAAGTAGAGCACAGCTGGGCTCAATCCCTAGTACTGATGGGTGGTTGGGTTGGTGGATGGTTGGATGGATGAATGATGATTGGATGGATGGACGAATCAACAAACATGGGGCTGAGGCTATAGCTTAGTGACAGAATTTGCCTAGCATGAGTTCGATCTCTGGCACTGCAAAAAATAAAATAAAATAAAATAAAATATGGTACCATATGTACTAACCATCTGTTTAAGCTAAGACCTGCCCTATCATGCTGCTGTGTCAGTGAAAGCATTAAGCCCCTAGTGAGGGCCATTTATTTGAGTGCCTGTTGTGTACCAAAGGCTTTATGAACTGGGACCTAAGGGTTTCAGTAACCTTCACAGATAGATGTTATTTTCATCTTAAGATAAGGCATAGAAGTTGGGAAATAGATTTGAAAATTTAGCAAATACTCCCGGCCTTAAATTAAAAAAGCAGGGTTGAAATTAACCATTGGCTCCTCATTCCATTTAAGGAACGCCTTGAAGCTGTTGTCCGACGTACAATGGAAAGGAGCCAGAAACCCAGACAAAAGTACAACCGATGGTCCTGGGGAGGCCCTCTCCACGGGAGCCCCAGCATCCACAGCTCAGGTAAACACCCAGAGACCACTTTCAAACATCGTCTTTGTGTTTTTCTCAGATAGTGAACAACGTGCATTTACTTCTTTTTTTCTAAATCTGTGTTTGCAAAACAAAAATCCTGCTGAAATCATTAAACTGTAATTGAATGATACTTCTCCCATTTGAGGATAAGAGGGTGATGCAGGTAAAAAGATAGGGTCCTTTCCTTTAACATAGGCTGCTTTTCTTATGTGTTATAAAATTCCTTACAGAGTGAAGTCTGTGCACGGTTTTGAAAACGTGCTAGTCTCAACTCTGTTTTACTAGCTCATTTGCATAAGGGTTTCAAGATTACAGAATAAATTAACCAGTTTTATCTTTTTTCTCTGGAAGAACCATAGTAATGTTAACAGGTCAAAATCAGGACAATGAGCCAATGCATTCTGACCCTGAAGTGTACGTGAGGGAGTGTACAGGTGTCTTGAGCTAGAAATAGCAAATGTCTGAGCTATTTCCTCCTCCTTCAGTGGACAAAAAATCATTCTCAAATTTGGACCTCATGAAAAGCTTTATTTTTGTACTGTAAATTCAGTACACCTTGAAATTTACATAGTATGTCAATTCTTTTTCATTTGTATGAGTCAAATAATTTTAATTTTCTTCGAAAAATCATGTCTTACATTCTGTCCCCAGGTGGTTTTGTTGAGTCATCATTCACCTTTCTCGATTTAGCAGGCCTGAACCACCACTGCACAGCCTCGGGTGGTACTGGCAAACCTGGTACAGACTTCCTGTGATTGCTGACTGCCACCCCGTAGCTAGCACCTCAGACCCAGGGCCAGTCCATCCATGGCTGGACCATCGCCACCTTAGCAATAATGCATGCTTACTGCCCTGCATAGACCTAGATCTGGGATCAGCACAGTGCTTCTTAAGTGTGATCATAGGACTTGGGTGACTTAAAGGTGTTGAAATAATTACATGTGGCATGTTTGCTTTCTCTTGAAATGAGCATTTTGGATAAAACCTTTTAAAAATACTTTTTAGCAAAAAAATTACTTAGGATCAAAGTACATCCAGTTTAGCTCCCTGATCTCCCAGCCTTACCGCTAAAGCCGCTTTTAGCTTTACCTAATAACTATGAACTCTTGTTTATATGCTGTTTTCTTTCATGCCTAACATTCTGTGTATCTTCTATAACCCTTTTATTAAAAAAAGAAAATCTAATGAGTATCACAACTCCCTTCCTATGACAATGAGCTAAATTGGAGAGCATCTTTTTTTCCCTTTGCTCTTTACCACCCCATGGTGGTTGGTGAAACACATATCAAATCTGTGATCATAAAGATTGTTTACATGTGCTATTTCATTCTTTTTAATTTTCATTTCATTTTTGAAATAGGTTTTATTATGTATTTATTAAGTTGGCCTTGATCTCACTGTGTAGCCCAGGCTGGCCTCAAATTCACAAGGCCTTAACCTCTCACATGTCATGTTTCATTCTAGGATGGTTTTGTGTTTTTTGTTTTTTGGTTTTTGGGGTGTTTTTTGGTACCGGGGTTTGAACTTGGGACCTTGTGCTTGCAAGGCAGGCAGCAAAACCACTGAGCTAAAACCCCGGCCCTAGGATGGTTTTGTATATATATTCCATGCAGAAAAAATGTCATGGTATATATTTTTATAGCTTATTTTCTTTTACTTGACTTCATATTTTATATGTGTGTCGCATAAATACACTGTTACAGATTGTCAAGCATTTTTAAGGAAAAAATAAAGCTTCTTAGCCTTAATTCTTGCTTTTATGCTGAAAGGTTTATATGACCTTTAGTTCTGCCAGTTAGGACAAGAGAAACCAGTAGTCCATTTGTGAGCTGTTGAATAAAATCCATTTTATTAAGACCCTTGAATTAGAGCAAATTGCTGCTATACTAAAACAGAGAGGGTTGTCTGAAAGTAATTGGAATTTGACAGAGTTTCCCGAGACTAGAAAGTGAGTGACCTTTTGTGAAGTGAGAGTGACCTCCGGGTCTCACTCCTTTTGAGTACCTTTTGCTTCACAACAATACCAGTGTGCTCAGTGAACACCGAGTGAAGTTTGCTGAGGACAAAGAGATCCTAGAAACTGTTCACATTAAAATCAGTGTCTCGTCCAACTGCTGGAACATCAGCTAGCAATAATCTGAAAATGCTATACTTTTAAGACAGATTCTTTGTCAACCTTTCTGTGAATCCATGTTTTGTTCATTGAGAAAAAGAAGTGACTAAAAGTTGCCTCATATATTAAATAGAATAATGTGTTGATGGCATATCTCCATTAATTTTAACCATTTATTGATGATTTAGTTGATTTATTATACATGGCATTTTGGGGAATGGGAAGACCTGGTTTAGCTCATTTTTTCCATTTTCTCTGAAACCAAACATTTTTTAATAAGCTATTGAGAATCTGTCCCAAGGTAGGCTTGCATGTATACACAATTTCTCCCTAACTAAACCTTAACATATAAAACAATATCAGGAAATATGTTGCTATAAATGATCTGAACATGAGTATTGTTATCCTTCCTTGTGCCCTGTATCTCACATTTCATCATTAGAATGTTCCTTTTAATGTTTTCCCTAAATTTTTTCTTTGTTAGGATTGCCCCAATAACCCATTATTAAACGTAACTGTAACTCAAAGAAATAATATTTGGTGTGGTTTTTATTAATAATAAAATTGATTCAACCATAAAAATTAATCCCAGTTGAAGATAAAAATGTCTGATATTAATGGAAGTCTTATCACCATTGTACTCAGTGTAAATGACAATCAAAAATGGCTATTCCATTGAGAAAGTTCATTGCAAAATGTTTATTGACTGATGGGAGCTGGGTTTTGAAGGCATCTGTCACAAGGAATGTTTTGGTTTTGGTTTTATAAGCAGGTAAAGATAGAAAATAAAATATGGCAATATTTCTGTAATGTAAGCTATTGTAGCTCAGAATATCCACTTGCCTGCTAGACAAATGTATAGTGAGATTTGTAAGCTTTAATTATTGTGTGGTTGTATTCAGGGAACATGATTTGTGCTAATGAGCACGATTACAAATTGGTTCCACTGTACAAAGAACAAATTAACAGAACTGATTTTTGCCTTGTATGTGGTTATTTCCCTTCTGATTTGAACTTTAAGAATTATTTTTAAATATTTTGACTGTAGCATGAACAATACTGTTCATCAACTTAGAATTCAGTATTTATATATATCACTGTCAGTTTTGATGAGCATTCTGTTTTGTGTGCTGATTCTACCTTGTAAGCCACACTAAACTCATAGGGCACAGACGTTTGGTTATAAGTAGTAGATTTTTTTTTTTTTTTAAAGGAAGGATGTACTGGTCATTTCTTTCTTTTTCTTGATTTTAAAACCATCCTTTTATAGTTAAATGTAATGTCCTGAGTAAAATGACTGCAGATACAGAAGTACCAGCAAGCACACATAACTTGGTGTGCTTTTACCCTTTCCAGTGTTTGCAGTATTGTAACTCCCATTGTCCCTACTTTGAGGAAGCAGGAGAGCATTCGTTTTGGGGGCCCTCTCTCTGCTTCTTGGTCAGCCTCCCTTGTTTCTGTAGCCCTTCCTTGGCCTTCCTTTTCTCTTCATCCACTTGTACTTTAACAGTTTCCTTGAGTTTTAAACTGGTGCACAAAATATTTTATGCTTTAAGAAAAGTGAATTTTATTTCTAGCCTTTAAGCTACCTTTAACATGTCCACTTAGAAAACTGTGCTGTTGTGAAAGATCTAGAAATAGAGCTGAAAGTATCAAATCCTAGTTTTTCCTTCCATCAGTGAACTAGGAAATTGCACTCCTGCATGCTGGCTGTCAATTAGCATTATCTCCATTTGTTTTAGATCCAGACAGGCGGTCAGTTTCCACCATGAATCTTTCGAAACATGTTGATCCCGTCATTAGCAAGCGGCTCTCCTCCTCATCTGCAACTTTGCTAAATTCTCCAGATAGAGGTACAGTCAAAAGGAAAACAAAACAGTGTTCTGTTATTTACTTAATGCTTTTTTTTTTTCTGGATGTCTACAGATGAAAATAAGCATCTGAAGTTGCTTTCCCTACGTTTCTTAAATAGGAAGAAAAAAGCTTCAGAGTAAAAAAGCAATAAACGGCTGAACAGCATTTTTCTTGCGACAAGAACATTTCTCATTTTAGAACGTGACTGAATGATTGCATTTAGCAGTGATGAAAGCGGTGCTTCTCTCGACCTTTTAGTAAATGAGTTTACAGCTCCAGAAATCACCCACTTATCCACCAAAATGCAGAATTCTTTGTTATGAACATTTCTTTTACTTCAATCATACTGTCTGTGCCTTTTCATCTGTACCTTAAGAATTCCAGGCTCTGACTTTCTAAAGAAAACTTTAAATGATTCATGTTGGTAAATTTCACTCTGTCAATTTATTTCTCATTTAATTGAGCATTTCTTACTACATTTCGTGTGTATGATTGGTTGTTTGGTGTCCATTCATTTACTCTTGAGGGATTTGACCTGCCTTTAAGAATGTCCTTGCCGCCTCCTGAAAAGTTTAATGATCACAGTCCTCCGGTTGACATCTTGAGTTTTGAGTTTTATTCATCTATGGATTTACAGTACATGAATGTTGAGTTATTTATAAAGTGAAGTTTTATTTTCCAAATAAAAGGAACATTAAGCTTTTGAGATAAGCTAATTGTCTAAGATGATTTTAAATAAAACCAAAGAATTATTGTGCAGTATGAAAGCACATGCTCATTAAAAGTAACAAATTGTGGTTACTTCACTTTATTAAGAAACTAGGAAAGTTTCAGTGTTTATAATCTTTAAGAAGAATGTAGTGTGCATGTTGTGTATGTGTATTTGTATATTTTATATTGTATAAAAGTATTATAGTGTCATTGTAATGTACAATATTATATGAGCGTTAATGATATTTTATAACTAATGTCATAAAGCAGTAACTGAATAACTTCCTATTCTTGCCTTTTAACCCAAAATAATTCCTTTTTTAAAAACTTAATTTGCCTAAATTACTGATATTGGATATGTAGTCAAGTTTGGAACCTTTCATGTTAAAATGTTGCTAATTAAAATTTCTTTCATAAATATGCTTTATTTTGAAACCTAATCCTTTCATATAACATAAAATATAGCATGTGAATGCTGATCTTACAGTTGTCTTTTCACCTTATCTTTGGGTCACTTAATCACCACTTTAATTTTGTACTTGTGTGAACCTGGATCTGAGACAAACCACAGTTAGGATTTTGTAGTACTGTTGATTTACACCTTCCTTAGTGTCTCCTACAGTCCCATAGCTGCAATCAGGGTGAGGATGGAAGTACAGGACAATAAACTGGACAATGTCCTATCCACATCTGTGTGGAATGACAATGTTGAACTGTCTAAATCAACTTCTTACTGTAATATGATCCTAGAGCTGAGACACATATGTGTGATGGCTCATCTGTTCCACTTGGGGTAATAGAGTCCTTCAGAGGTTGAGGCCAGACTTAATGTTCCACAAGCAAATGACTGCAGAAGAGGAATTAGATCCCAGACTAACAGCTCCATCTGCAGTTCTTACCTTCCTGCATGTCCCTCCATAGGTGGATGGTGTGCATTCTTCTTTGCATAAGTTAAAAGTAGAGTTAGGATACAGGGCACAAGGGACGTTTTATAACTAGCTTATGGTGGGGGCCAAAAACTGCCCCTTAAATGGTGCAGGCCTAGAAAGCTGAATATTGACTTGGACTAATAAGAAAAGAGGGAGAGAGAGCATTGAATTTGAGAAAGTTGCCTCCCATATGGTGCAGAAAGATTTTTTTAACTTAGCCAAAACTCTCAGTAGGACAGTGAGAGGCTTAGGCCTTTTAATAAGAATATAAATTCTTCTAAATTTGAATTTCTATAATTTAGAAATATAATTCTTTCCTGCTGCCTATTTTAAAAAATTATTTGTACCTTATTATCCCATTAGAAGGATTCTTACTGAATTTTTAAATTAGATTCCTTTACAGACTGAAACATGCAGAGGATATGGACATCATTACTGAGTTGTTTGAACTTTTCTCAGTCCTATGGCAGCAGCCGTAAAGCTGATATTAAACTGAGACTCTAAAGCCATGAGGGCTACTGTTTGGCTGGAATGTGTCTGGTCAGCCCCTCTGGTTATTAAATACACTGAAATATTATCATATCACTTGCCAGAACCACTTCCCCTACATGATCCTCAAAACTAATGGAAGCCAGTCATTGGCCTGTGCCTGTGCCCTACTGGCTTTTAAATATTTTGATTATTACTTTGATTGTTAAAGATTTCTGTAATTCCTGCAACAAAGAAAATATTGCCACTGGAAATTTTTGCATTAAAAGGGCTTGTCATTATCTTTATGCTACCCACTTAACTAACTTTTTCAAAAAAGAAACAATAGTTAGAAAAAAATAAAAATAAAATTGCCTACTCATTGCTTAAAATTAATCAATTTGTTTTCCCCAGAATCTTCATCAGAGAACACAGAGATGGCCTGAAAGCTAAATTCTGCCCAGAGCCTTTTTCTAATTAATCTGAGCAATGCTTTCTGTTCTTATTTTGATTAACTTCCAACATTTAAAATATGAAAGATTTCATACACAGTAACATTGAGACTTCTTCTAATGAAAAAAATAAGAATCTCCCAACATTTGGCTAATTTCTGCTTCATACCCATTACCTGAAGCTGAACAGTGATTTCATACTTATACAAGGAATGTGGTAGTGCAGACACCGTAAAGTTTGCTAAGCCAACTTCACTTATTTATGTTAACCCATGTGGCCCTTAACAGCCTTTGAATTTGTCTCCCCTAATCCCAGTGGTGTATTTTAGTAATTGTCAGCATCTCATTTTAAGTGGGTCAATACCATAGAGTTCTGTGAGCATTAGTATCTCCTTGGCCAGCTTTTAAATCTTAAGATCTAGGTGAAAAGAACAATGAACTAACTCTCTTTTGCTAACATTTACTAAAATGTTACCTTATAGAAAGTATCTGTTCTCAATTAGAGCATTACTTACTAACATAGTAGAAGTAGAAATGCATTTCAGCAAACACATTCACAGTATAGGGATTTACTTTACATGTATTAAAGTAGGTTTGTAATGATCTTTATTTGAGGCAAAGTCTGTAGTTGATGCCCTAAAGACACACAGGAATATAGTAATTAAACTTCTTAGTGGATAGCTCTGCAGTATAAGCTACAGTCATCCTATGGTGTTTCTAAGAAAAGGAAACATAATGGGGAAAAAATAAGAACCAAGATGCATTATATAAAGGTACAATTCCCAATGAGAAATGTAATTATGTTGTATACCTACAATGTACCAATAAAAGAATTAAATACAAAAAAAAAAAAAAGAAAAGGAAACATTCACCTTCCCTTCCTTATCTGTTGAACATATAATTCTGATGACAATTTTCAGTTAATCCTACTCATTTTTTACCCTCTGATTTTATTCTGTGAGTATATTCTGATTTGAGATCAGGTTATATTCTCTTGTTACACACACTCACACTCCCCTATTGGTTTATGATAGTGCTTACTACTCATGGTGCTGTCTACTAACCATAACTGTTGCAGTAGTTTTTATAACATCTTTCTTTTTTTTACTAGTATCTTAATATTTAACTACAAAGTCTCCCAATAAACATAAAAGCTAAGGAATAATTCACTAATTCTTTTTTTTTTTTTTTTTTTGGTACCGGGGATCAAACTCTTGTCCTTGTGCTTGCGTAGCAGGTGACAAAACCACTGAGCTAAATCTCTGGCCCACTAATTCTTAAATTTACCAGTGTTGATCAAACTAGCCATACTTTTAAAACAAAGCTAGGTAATTAAGGAATTTAATGGAAGTTGATTCTTCCTTCCAAATAGCAAATAATTTTCTAAGTAACAATATTTAGCAGTATATGGCTTTTACTAACTAAACTAATTTCTTAGAATTTAAGTATCATTCTTTAAAATATATGAGATTGATGTAAGAACACCCACTCCGGGGGCAAGAGGACTTGTACCTGAGGTTTATGGAGCAGAACAGAAGTGGCCTTGTCAGGTTTAGATGGTTTGAAAGACTTTTGTAAGTGACTTAGAAGTATATTCTGAAGCAGAGAAATGTGACCACTTTAATGATATCTGCAGGAATGTTCACACTTTTTTATGGGTATTTTTGGAAAATACCTCCTGTGTATTCACATGACATCACTGGAAGCCAGCAATAATTAGAGTGCATTTCCTAATGCTGACCTTGGCAACCTCCAGTATAATTTTGGACCATATATCACTGCATTATTTTAAATTTATTGTCTAGATTCTTTAGACCTCTGCTAGTAATCATTAAGATTTTGGGTTTTCTATTTACTTTTAATCTTGCTTCACCTTTAGCCTTGATTCTCAGCCATGATTTTTATATTGTTGTCAAAGGAAGGAACTTAGCTCACAGGGTAGAATGGTCAAAAGGAATCCCATACAGAGCTTTGCATTAATTTTTCATTTTATTATATCTAATTTCCCCCAATTCCCCAAATAATTCATGAGAATCTAGCATAGTTTAATAGAGACCCAGTGTATCCTTTATATAAGTCTAGTATTCCATTAACTGGCCAACATCTCTGTGACGTTTATTATTCAAGGTACTTGGGAAGCCCATTGGCTAAAGTGCCATGAGTCCATGCCCATCCCAGATGCCCATCAGATAGGTACCCCCTGGAGTTATCGGTACATGCCAAATCTGTATATTAAATGATATTTCTATTTCAAGACCTGTTGACTACTAAAGGAGGGTGATTAGCAAAATCCACAAGTAAAACTTCTTTAGGGCCTGCCACAAGCTTAACACCCTTAAGAAAGGCAACATTTGTGGAATAGCTGCTCCCCTTGGACAGGGTTCCTGATTCCTGACCGGGGCCAGTTGTCCTCTCTGGAGAGCCTGGTGGAGGCCTGGCCTGTGGAGGCAATGGGTATGATGTTCTGTGCCCTCTTGACCCTGGAAAGAATGATTCTAACATCTTGGTTATGTGGTGACATTTAGCTCGCCGCCTGCAGCTCAGCCCCTGGGAGAGCAACGTTGTTAACAGACTACTGATGCCCACACATTCATTCCTGGCCAGAAGTAAAAGCACAGCTGCCTTGTCTGGAGACGCAGGTAAAGCCATCCAGGTAGAACTTTCCTGGCGAGGGAAAGCCTTCCTTTTGGAGCTTATCTGTGCTACTGGTCCTCATCCATTCCCCGCTGTTTTTCCTGAAGTGTGCATCCTTCTGCTCTAGTGGAAATGTCTGTCGGTGTTCGTTTCATGCTCTGGCTTTGTTTCCACCCACCTTAGCGCCTTATCTGAACACCAGAGCCCAGGCAGACATATGAAGCCCCTCGCTGCGACCAGGAGGCTTCAGCTCCCTCTGTCTGTTCATGAGGTTACCCCAAAAAAGTATTCAGTTATCTACCTTTCTTTCCGCCCCTGTATCTGGGCAGGTGATCAAAAGGTAGATACAATGTAATACTTGTTATCGCTAAGTTGAATTTTTTAAGCATAGAGTTTTTTAGTGTGGCTATGGGCTAGCTGCTTATCCTCCTTGTGCTATTTTTTACATGTAATCTAGAAGCAGCACCCTTGCAAAACTCTAAAGACTTGGGGAGGCTAATTACAGTGTACCTATTTATTACTTTCATTGAAAACATGTAAACGTATCTAATACCAGCTAGTATATTATTATTGCCTACTTTTTGAAATGTAAAACATACCGGAATCAAACAAATGGCTCATTGAGTTAGTGAGAAGTTAGTGGGCAGCCTATATTTGATTGGTAAGAAAAGTCCACATAAGACTTTTGGTAACATTTCTCTTCTGGTAAATAGATTTAGATTTTCACAAATCTCTTAGGGCACAGTTGGTGAATCTATATAACCAGTCTAGCAGCCCTGATCTTTTGTACTTAGAAAATTGCATACAGTCTTTGAAAAGTTCCCTTTGCCTCTGCAAGCCTCTTCATGTTCATTAGCTTGCTGTACAAATAGTAATTCTTGGTGGTTTTATGGTGTCTTTCATCCCCAGTGCCCAGTGAGCTAATGAGTATCAGCACTACTTCTCATAGGGCCCCTGGAGGTCAGTCAAGAGAGCAAGTATCGCCATTCCCACCTTGTTGTTATGGAAAGCAGGTGTAGTGACAATAAGTGACTTACATAGAGCCACTTAGGAAATTGTGGAGTGGATCTTAAACATGCTCCTGTGTCCCCTCCTCCGCACCCTGAGTCACGCTTTGTGTCCAGGTGTGCAGGCAACTGGCTGAGCCACAGTGTTCTCTATTTTCTGTCAAGGAATTTCCCTGTCAGAACTCTCATGCTACACCCGAGACTTTTCTGGAGGAAAAAGTGTAGCTTGTTTCAAGATAGTTTAGGGGGTTTTTTTGTTTTTTTGGTACCAGGGATCCAACTCGGGTCCTTGCGCTTGTGCAGCAGGCAGCGAAACCACTGAGCTAAATCCCCAGCCCTAAGATAGTTTAGTTTTTAATGCCTGCGAGTTCATACTTTCATGCAAGTCATGGAAGTTTCTCTTCATGTCAAAGAACCTTTCAAACTGCTTGTCCATCCTGTCTCAGAAGATCTCCATATGTATGGCCACCGTGCATCCCAGCCCCCACACTGTATGTTACACTGCGCCAAAGGACACTTCAAAGCTGATAATTGTCTTTCCTTGCTATTTCTGTCATCACTAACTTTTGTCATTTCTCTCACTCTTCCTGTAGTCTTTCCCAGCACCATTTCCTCATTTTCCACCCATTTTACTTGCCTGTCTTCCCCTCCCTCCAGTTGTAATGCTCAGTCGAGGTGCTTTTTATCTGCAAGTTGGATCTTTGCAATTTTTCTGTTCCCTTTTACACAAATTGATACATTAATTTATTTTCGTGTGAAACAGTGCAGAGCCTTTTCTTGAGTTGCCTGTTTTACTAATACATTCCCTAGATCAATGTCTATTGCATTGATAAAGCTTATGTTTAATGAAGCAAAACTGTTGGTTTCTGCAATCATTTATAATATATATGTATATATAAAAATAACTGTGTCTTTCAGTTGTCTTTTTGAAGGCATTTTTTAGTCACTTTTGGTTCATTATGTGTTCTCCTTGATTATTCTTTTTTGTCTTTCCATTTTAGTTCTGTATCTTGATTTCATCTTATTCTCAAATGCCATTGGCAAAGGGGTGACTTAGCTGGGGTTACAGTGGCTTGGATGTCCCATGATTACAGACTCCCTGAGCAAGCAATAGAGCCATTGAGAACTGGAAACTCCAGTTTCATACCTCTCATTTGCAGTTACTGTTTTGGGTTAATTTTTCCATGCCCTTTTTTAAAAGAACATTTGAAATACAGTTTATCAGAGCTCTGGATTAAAATTAATACATGTAAAATAGTTAGAATAGTGCCTCCCACAGTAGGCCCTTGATAAATGTTAGTATTTTAGTATACAAATTCTCTATTCCCCACATTGTACTCCAACCACATACTTATCTTTGCTTTACATTATTTCATTTAGGACAGTGATGGCAAACATTTTAGAGCTTTCAATGATAACAAACAGCCAGCTGCAGCACATGTGCCATAGGTTCACCACCACTGATTTAGGAGATCTTGAATGAGTTAAATAAATGCACATCTACTACCAAGACTACTGAAAGTCTTTCTCAAACATGTTTCTATAAGAGAATGCTCATGTGTAACTAAACTACTTGTGTATGAAGGGTGCTCTGGGGAAAAATAACTATATATTACCCTTGCTGTTACCGCAGAAGGGTAAGATTATTTGCACAATTGATTTGAAGTTTTCAAGTTTTTCAGTAGTTACTGTTCACAGCAGCAGTAATTTCCATGAAATTTAATACAATTGGAATTTATAATGTTTATTTTAGCCAGAAAATATTCCATGGACAATTAAAATTGAGAAAAAAGATTTGTGTAGATTACGTTTAGGATATTTTCCACATGTATTTGATATTTCCTCAGTTATAATAAAGAGTAAACCAGAAGGCATAATAAGACTGGCTTACATTCAGAATGATGTCAGGAAATGCTCCATGGATACCTGCTGAAATTGTTATTTTCCACTGGAAAAAGAAATCATAATTCTGTGCTTTTTCCTTCTTCAGTGTCAAACGCACACTTCAGACTGTTTGCTAGGGTCTCTTGATCCCTGAACAAGGGTAGTGTCCTCTGGCTATGCCCTGGGTGCTGTGTACGTTTCCTCCTGGTCATGCATCCCCAGAAGGGCCTTGTGCCAGGATGTTATTTCTTGAATGCATTTGATTGACTTGGAAGAATTTTTGTATTAATGAGCTCTTCCCTTGTCTGGGAAATGCAAACACCTTGTTGTGACACTTAAGAAAAGGTCATTTTTAAATAGATTCCACTATGATCTCAACAAGCAAAGTGACAAGACAATATAAATCCTTCCTTTACCATTAAAGTCAGAAGTAAAGATTTATGTCATTTCCCAAGCATGGCACACATTTTCTTTGAAATGAGGAAATGCAAAATGTTTTAGCCTATCCTGTAAAAATAGAATTCTGTTTCATGATAATGGAAAAAGAGAGTGCAGTGTCCCATCTAATTCACTGTCCTAACTATTCAGTGATAACCAAAAGATACTGTAAGGCATTGAATGAAATATGTGTTCTAGGGCTGGGGGTGTAGCTCAGTGGTACAGCACTTGCCTAGCATGTGCAAGGTCCTGTGTTTGATCCCCAGCACTCCCCCACCCAAAAAATGATGCAGTCTAATCAACTGACGGTAGAATAAACCAAAATAACAATTAAATATTTTAAGTCTATATATAATTCTGAACTTTTGAGTTTTTAATTTATTAATACTATTACATTTTCCTGGCATAATGGTCTCTTTAATGGGTTCCTACAATGGCTAGCGTTAGGTAAACTCATTTTATAACCTGGTCCAAATGCATAATATTATCCTCAGTGGTCACATTTGTCTTATTTTTGCTGGAAAGCAAGATCCCTGAATGAAATCTAAAAATGGATCTTGGAACCTTAGAACCCATACTTGTTATACCTGCCCAGTTACATCAGTTTTTTAAAAGATTCATTGAGCACCAGAATAAATAGATTAATGATAGTGTTCCTTTGAAAGTGAATGGTCAGAAACTGTGTGGGTTTCTTCTTTCTTTCTTTTCTCTCTTTCTTTTCTTCTTCTTTTTTTTAAACATAGGGTCTCTCTATGTTGCCCAGGCTGGTCCCAAATTCCTGGACTCAAGTGATGCTCCCCTTCCATCCCCCCAGCTGGTGGGACTGGTGCCACCACACCTGACACTATGTGGATCTTCAAAAAAATTCCATTTTGAGTAAAACTGTAAAAGCTATTTATGATCCAAATTTATTTTCAGCAATGCTAACATATTTATGTTCTTTTCACCATTTTAAATAGTTACATCTCATCTCCCCATATGTTCTACTGCTGCTTTTTTGAACTATCAAGTGCCTTGGCTTTTGGGAAAACCCAGAAGCATGCATTGGTTTGCCTTTAAAAGTAGATAAAACATTTACAGAATTCTTTTCTGGGAATCATTTCTTACTCTTGTAACAAGTCTTAACACTTGGTAAGACTTGGTCATTTAACATTTTAAAACTGTGCTTGATTTTTTTTCACTGGCTGTTGAACTTGACTCTTGAAATAGTTGTAGAATATCTTCCTTGCCTGCACGCTTCCTCTCTTTCCACCTTGTATAATGTCTTAAAGCTAATTAAGAAAAATCTGATTATAAACCAATCCTTATATAAAAATTATATCGTATGACTAATGTTGCATTTTACCAGAACCACTGGTTTATAGGAATGTAAGACCATTGCTGTCCATAATTATTGGATTGCATCTGTATCTTCAATCTGTATTTAATTAGCTAGCTTTATATTCCGGATTTTTTACTTGGACATGCCTTCCTCATGGACACATCACAGACTCACAGGATGTGAGGAGAGTTGAGCGTGATGGTTCTGGGCACCATTAGGTAATAACATCTTCTTCCTACTTTTCTCTCTATCTCTGCTTTGCTCCTTTTCCTGAACCTGCTTTTTGGCTTTCTTCAACTGCTCCTCTGGCACTCTTATGTGTAAAACCAATCATCTGCACCCTAGTTATCCCCATTTGTCCTCGTTCAGCATCTTGCAGCCCCATCATCATGCCCTACAAAGCTGCACACTCTAGAAATCCAGTGGATCGACCAAAACTCTTTGTAACACCACCCGAGGGCTCTGCGCGCAGGAGGACTGTTCATGGCGCCACGGTGAGTAGCAGCCGGGAGCAGCCTGGCAAGCCTGGGACAGAGTGGACACTGCCCGAGGTATGGTGTGATTCAAGCCAGGGCAGCTGCAACACCCACCATGCCACCCATCTCAAATCTAGCTCACTGGGCAGTGCTGCCCCTACCCTACAACACCCTTCCTCTCAGATTGGGCATTTGGCTCTTTCTAAAAATTTGAACTTGAAGATGAAAACTGTTTCAAGCATATATGAATGGCTGGCTTATCCCAATCATGTCCAGAAGCTGGCCAGACTCTTAAGTGTGAGTCACTAAAACTCAAGATGAGGAATTCTGATCCTGCTTATTAGCTAATCTCTGTCAAAGCCCACATCTTAAAACATAGTAGAAAAAATATTCTAAAAACATGAGTTGTTTGCTAAATAACCAGTCTTTAAAAGGCTATTGTGCTGTATTATACACTCAAGTACTGCAAGTGAGAAATATAATTTGTACTTGTTATTACTGGCAAGGAAGCTGAGCTAACCTTAATCATCATGCTGTAAGTGCAATGAGGTAATTTGTATGTCTCCGGGAATCTTTCTTCATCTTTGTTTTAAACTGTGTGTTTATTTTGCCTCTGTTGAAAGATGAAGATGTTGTTCTATGGCCTTTTGACCCTGTACTTTAGTTTTAAAGAACTCACCCATCCACAAGATCTCATTGCCTCTCTCCCATGATAATAGTGTGGTCCTTGTAATGAAGGGCTAGAACTTTTTTTTTTAATTTTACCTTCCAGGAGTAATTCAGATGTATAAAGCTCATGGACGCTTTAAAGGATTTTGCTTAGAGGATAATTCAAGGGTTTGAGAGCTCTTGATGGTTTTGCCTACAAGCAGTTTTCTTTCAGGCCTCATCAGACCTGCAGTGATCTAAGCCAAAGGTGAAAACTACCTTTGATGTCTGCAAAGTGGTTTCTTGTTTTTTACAGTACTGGGGATTGAACCTAGGTGAATCTTTACCACCAAGCCACATCCCCAACCCTTTTTATTTTTTGAGACAAGGCCTCACTAAGTTGCCCAAGCTGGCCAACAACTTGGGATCCGCCTGCCTCCGCCTGCAAGATTACGGGTGTGCACCTCCACTGTGGCTTCTGCTAAAACTGGATTCATTAGCCTCTGGGTTTGGCAGAGATTCTCATTCAGCACAAAAAGCAATAGTGAAGTGGATCAGCTTTGAATGCTTCTTGAAGAGAAGCCGAAGGCTGACCCTGGGCTAACAGTAAATGGAGAGGGGTCTGTCATCCCACATGCCGGGCTTTGCTGTAGGTGTTGTTTTCTCTTTAATGCCTTCCTCTTTCTTTGTGTAGTCAGTTAGCCTTCTCTTTTCCTCCTGCAGCCAAACATTTAGATAAAACCTAACGCCAGAACCTGGAGCTGTGACATGGAATCCAGTAGTGACTGTCAACACTGAGCACTCGAAAAGTGGCAAATGACAGTGACACACTGATTTCTTGTTTAATATTGCAGATTGAGCCCAGGGTTTTCACATTGAGCTATATCCTCAGCCCATTTTTTATTTTTTATTTTGAGATAGGGACTTGCTAAGTTGTCCAGGCCAGACTCCTCCTGCCTCAGCCTCCCAGGGTTATAGGCCTGGACCACTAGGCCATGCTGAATTTTTAATTTTTAAAAATGCTGAGCCAGGGGCTGGGGATTTAGCTCAGCGGTTTCGCCACCTGCTGCGCAAGTGCAAGGACCCGAGTTTGATCCCCGGTACCAAAAAAAAAAAAAAAAAAAAAAAAAAGTGCTGAGCCAGATATCATGTCACATACTTGTAATCCCAGCACTCAGAAGGCTGAGGCAGGACAACTGTGAATTTAGGGCCATGCTGGGCTACATAGCCAGACCTTCCCTCCAAATAACAACAGTAATATGTTTGTGGTTTTAAAAAGCAATCATTTTTTAGTTCAGTGTCAAGTACATTCACATTGTAATACCATCAATCTTCAGAACTTTTAAAATCTTGCACAACTCAACCTCTAAGCACATTAAACAACCTCCTATTTCCCTGTCCTTTCCCCTCAGCCCCTGGCAACTACCATTCTGCTTTCTGTTTCTGTGACTATGACTTCTTTAGATACTACATGTAAGTGGAATCATGAAATAATTAAATTTTCATGACTGGCTTATTTCGCTCAGCATAAGGTTGTAAAGATTCATCCCTGTTGAAGCATATGTTAGAATTTCTTGCCTATTTGTTGTTGTTGTTGTTGTTATTGTTGTTGGCAGTGGGGATTAAACTCAGAACTTGGACATCTTCCTGCCTTAGCCTCCCAGAGAGCTAGGATTACAGGCATGGACCCCTGTGCCTGACAAATCTCCTTCGTTCTTAAGGCTGAATAATATTTCATTGTATGTATATTTCACGTTTTGGTTTTACATTCATCTGATGAGGTACATTCGGGTCGTTTCTACCTTTTGGCTATTATGCATAATGCTGCTATGAACATTGGTATACAAGTATCTCTGGGAGATAACTACATTCAGTTCTCCCAGATATATACCCATATGGTAACTATGCTTTAGGTTTTTGAAGAACCACCATACTGTTTTCCATAGTGACTGCACCATTTTACATTCCTACCAAAGCACAAGGGGTTCTCATTTCTCCATGTTTTTACCAACATGTGTTATTTTCTGGGATTTTTTAAAAAATAGCAGTCCTAATGCATGTGAAATGATACCTCACTGTGTTTTTTTAAAGACACAGCATAAAATTTTATTTTTTATGGGAATGTTTCACATAGCTTTATTTATAATGCCTAAAACTATTTTTTTTAAGTTTTATAATTTTACTTAGCAAGTGTTCAAGTACATCAACTTTGATTTAATTTGTGCACAATGTAAGGTTAAAAAAATTTTTTATTTGGATACATAATTCTTCCAAGTGGATTTTAGAAAAGAAAACTTCTTCCTCTTGAATCATCTCAGCAACTTTAGTTTTTTTTTAATGTAATACAAGTAGATATTAATGAAAAAGTATAAATAAGTCCTCTTCTTTGAAGAAATAAGTCAAAATTTCATAACGAAATAATTAGAGAATAACAATAGTTAATACACTGTGTACCATAATTTTAAAGTTACTCGGCTCGCTGTGGTTTTACATTCATATCACATTTTTATTTTGCATTCATCTGATGAAGAACTTTCAGGTTGCATTTCTCTAGTGCACAGTGATGGTGCAAGCTTCTCAGGAGCATGTTGGCAGTTTGTATATCATATGCAGGAAATGTTTCTTGAAGTCTTTCACCCATTTTTTTAATCAGGTTACTAGTTGTTGAATTGTAGCAGTCATTTACATTTTCTGAATATTAGACTCCTAAGTATGATTGCAAATATTTTTCCTATTTCACAGGCTGTCTTTCAGTGTGTCCTTTTTGTTGTTGTTGTTGTTGTTATGCTTTTTTGCAGTCCTGAAAGCTGAACCTAGTGCATTTGCACTGAGCTGTATCTCCAGCAGTTTTCTTATTTTTTATTTTTGAGACAGTCTCACAAAATCACTGAGTTGCCCAGGTCAGACTTGAGCTTATGTTCCTCCTGCCTCAGCCTCCAAGAGTGATTGTGGTTTTTGATGCATAGAAATTTTTAGGTTTGATGTTGGTTCCATTTGTCTGTTTTTCACATTGTTGGCTATGCTTTTGTTATTCTAACAAATCAACACTAAATCCAGTGACATGAAGTTTACCACCTGTTTTCTACCGAAGTTTTGTGGGTTTAAATCATACATTAGGTCTTTAATCCACTTTGAGTTTATGTTTGTATGTTATATAAGAAAAGGTCCAATTCCTTTTTCTTGCAGATATCCAATTTTTCCAGCAGCATTTGTTGAAGGGAGCATTCTTTTCTCTTTGATCTTAGGATTTTACAATACAAAAGTACTTATTTCTGGGCTCTCTATTCTGTTCCATTTGTCTGTATGCTGCTCATTGAGTGTTTTGAGTAATACAGATTTTTTTTTTTATGGTTTAAAATTAAGAAGTATGAGACCTCCAGCCTTGTTCTTTTTTTTCAAAATTGTAGTTTCCCTCAGCATTTTGGACAATGTTAAAAGGAAAGAGGATTATATAGGTGGCAGGGCATTAACTCAGATCTGGATGAGAACCAGGAGTGCCTTTACCCGTGTGATGCCCAAATTAGCAGTGGATTTAAGAACAGTGAATGGACCTAGAAGATAAAACAAATTCTGCCTGCTTGGGTGGTGTTGTCTCAAGTGCTGAGTGTTTTCCCAAACCATTCCTCTCCTGCTCTGCCAGCCCCTAGGTGGTTAAAGGAGATCAGTTTCTTTTAGGGGACTAAGAAGTAATTGGCACTTTAATAAAACAAAGACTGTCTCTTTTATGCAGAGCCATTCCATTATTCATGTGTCTTGTTTTTTCTCCTGTTTTCTTTTGTTTTTCTGGGAGTGGAGATCAAATGCAGGGCCTCACATATGCTACCCAGTTTACACTGAGCTACATCCCCATCTCCCCCGGACACTATCTCATCAAAGCACAGATGAGGAAAGTCATCCCCAAACTCTGCAGTCACAATTGCCCTTCCCATTTAGATCCTTGATTTTATTTCAGCCAAATCAAAATATTTTGAGAAAGAAAGAACAAAAGAGACTACTCGGGTTCTTTACCCTAAGTTCCCTTAGGAGGAGCCCTGGGTCTTCCATCCTGGGGACTAACCTTCCAGAGGCATAATAGCCAACTTGCATACCAGACTGAAGTCCCATAGAACGGCTGAAGCTTTTGCCACCCAAAGACTGCACCTGCTCTGCCAGACACCTCCTGCCTTTTGACATCAGAGACAGAGACAGAGCATGGTCATTTACCTGGAGAGTTGGGGTAGATCTGGCACCCACTTTGTGGTGCTCCTTCCTGCCCTGTGCATCCTGCTGTGTAGAAACTCCAGGGAGACAGTATTATCTGGCACTTAGATGTTTTTCCCCACCTATGGCCCAGGCAGTCAGCTAGGGTACTGCTAAGGAAAATGGAGAGAAGCAATTAGAAGGGACATTCAAGGGCTTAAAAGGGAAGGGAAAGAAGAACTGATGCTTGAGCATCGGTAGAAAAGGAGGGAAAAAGGGATATACTACCAGCAGTTTTGCCCTGTGACTAGGTAGTATTTTATCCCTTCCCTGTACCTTTCCAGTCTGCTTTCCTGGCAGGTGTCCACCATGTGCCTCTAGCAAGGGTCCATTCCCATCCCAGAACATGATAGAAAGTTTCAGGTTCTCCAATACTTGGAATGGGTCTGGTTTGCCGTCCGCTTTGAGTGGTGGTGTCTGGGCTGATTTTAGACTCTCAGAACATTTCTCTGGGCTTCTCTCTGCCCATTTCCACTGAGGAAAGATGCTGTCTGCCTGGCTGAATTCCTAGCTGGCAGTTAGGGAAGGGCTGGTATTTTAGCCTACCCTCAGACTTCAGTTTGCTTCCCTGATACAGAAGAGTATAAATACCTGAACCTGACTTTCCTTACAGAACATTAGCTGGAGAAGGAATTTTTCTATAACATCCATATACAGAGAAAATAAATTAATGTCAGAAATAGCAGACATGTAAGATTTTTTTAATTACCAAGCTATGGTATGCTCTGAGATGAAAAAAAAAGTTCTTATGGAATTAAAAAAGAAAAAGAACTGTTTAATTAAAAGTTTTTAAGAAACAGAAGTGACCTTTATTTTAACATTTGTGGAGAAGAAACCATACTGAGATTTTGCTGCAGGTAATTTCAGACACAAAATATTGGTGCTTTCTAAAAGTCTCAAGGGTATTTTTTAAAACAAATATCTAAATCACACTTTCACAACCACCTGTGTTAATTCAGTTATGCTGTTCTAAACCTATAAGGACCTTCTGTGGAGGTAGTTTAGAAAATTGGTAAAACCCTATTAAATGGTTTATAGCCCCACTATCAAATACTGTGAATGTGATCAGCTCACTCATGGAAAAATCTAATTATTTTTTCTGAACTTAGGGCCATAAAAGAGACAGAGAAAATGTACCTTTCCACCTCACATCTGGCGTCCGAAGGACTCTATCTCCAGCTAATCCCAAAGGAAGATCGCCAGCTCCCTCCCGACTCTGGTGAGTGAAATACACTAGGCTCCTTGGGCCTCCTTGGTAATTAGTAGCGCCTGGCCTTGCAGCGAGCTTGGCTTTGCCTTAGGGAATAATAGTCTTATTTTTTTCAATACTGGGGTTGAACCCAGGGCCACATGCATATTAGGCAAGCATTCTGCCACTGAGCCCTTTTTAATTTATATTTTGAGGCAAGGTCTTATAAGTGGCCCAGCCTGGGCTCAAACTTGTAATGGTTCTGCCTCAGCCTCCCAAGTGACTGGTATCAATGGCATGTACCTGACTCAACAGTCTTCCTTAAAGCAAAGAAAAAGAGGAATGTCAGAATGGGTCTCTAAAGTGACTCCACAGAAAAGACAGATCCACATAGTTAGCTGTCTGCATTGCTTTTCAGTAAATTGGTGTCCCGAGGAAATCGGTGTCCTGCTCTGATGTTCCCATCTCCACATTGTTTTTTTGCCACCCAGGCTCCCGTCCAAGTCCTTCCCGCACTTGCCCGGCACACCCCGACCAGCGTCTTCCTTACCTCCTGGCTCGGTCAAAGCTGCCCCAGCTCAGGCCTGGCCCCCATCCCCTGGCAACATCCGCCCTGGCAAGAAAGAAGCCAGAGTGGAACCTGAGAAGAAAGACCCCGAGAAGGAACTTCAGAGTGTTGCCAGCGAGCCCTCACTGAGGGGCAGAGCACCGTTGGTGAAGGTAGCAGAAGCCGAAGCCGAAGAGGCGACGCCTGTCGAGCCCGAAGCTGACACAGGTGGGGGTGACCCAGCTTGTGCTGAGACATGGCCTTCACGGCTCTCCATCCTTGCTCTTTTTCACAGGCACTGCTTTATTAGCTCTTCTTTTCTTACGACTCTGAGGCTCATTTTAGGACTTTTTCTTAACTGTTATTTTCTTTACAATCCAAACATCCAGAAGCCCATTGTTGGACCCACAGCACTGTTAATTCAGACATGATCCCAAGTCCTTTTACTGAGTACAGCGTTTCACAAAAAATGTGGTGTTCAGAGCGCCTGCATCCAAATCGTTTATTATACAAGTTATCTGTAACAAAGTAGCCCAATCTTCATCACTTTCAGACATCAAAACACTTCTTACCACACACAGATTGTTGGCTCAAGAATTTGGGGACAGCTTGGCTGGGTGATTGTGGCTCAGGGTCTCCTGTGAGATTGCAGTTGAGCTGTCTGTTTAATATTTCCTGGTTGAAAATTGTCTTCATTCAAAATATTTCTATTTAAGGTAGTCTGAAGGTCAAGGATAGGGCCAAAGAAAGAAGAGTTGGTTCAAGACAGTTGAAAATGTTGAGAGAGTGGAAGAGTCCAGTGTTGCCTTTCATGAAAATAGAATAAGGGGCCAGGGATGGCATGATGATAAAGAAAACTCTACGGGAACACCAGTAGAGATGTTAGTGAGGAAAAGCACTGGGAGTGGCCGGGGGCCAGAGCTCAGGGCCCCCGAGTGCTGCATCAGTCACAAGAGTGTGTGGGGCACCCGGGTCTCCCTGCATCCGAATGCAGCCAGAGAACTTGCTGGGTGTTGTCAAGACTGAGTGGAGGCCAGATGTGTGAGCCACACACATGCCCCTGAACAGGCCGTGGCCTCCCCATGTCCCGGACCTGAAGACAGCTCTGGGTAGGTGCCCCCTTCCCCACCTGAATCAGCCTGTGACATGGGTGCTGAGGACAGTCAGAGAGAGAAAGGCTATAGTGCCGTAATAACAAACAGTCACCAAAGAGCAGGGATTCTTAAAAAGTAAAGAAAGATCACATCTTCATTTTGCTGCTGAATCCAACATGAGGCTCTCTCCTCAGTCCACATTTGCTAGATGTCGTTAACTGACTGGACCGCTATTAAAATAAGACTTAGTGACAGTGTGAGCTTTGTCGGAGGTCTCACTTAACACACACACAGTTTTTTATCATCTGTTGCTTGGTTACAGATGGAATACAGTGAAACCATGAGAACACACAGTAATAAACATTCCCTTTTCTTTGATAATGATTAATTCTAGGGCCATGTGTGACAAGAATGCTAGTTTTTGTTTTGTTCTTTGGATTTTGTTTCCAGTTGGGTTTCTTCTTGTACCTATTTGTACAGCTGCTCCAGCGCAGGCTCTGGATCCAGCTCCAGCCCCAGCCCCAGCTGCACCTCCAGCCTCTGTCACCACCACACCACCCCCTGTGACTGCCAGTGCTGCTTCCAAGGTCTCCGCAGGCACCACGGACCCAGAAGAAGCCACACGGCTGCTGGCTGAGAAGAGGAAGCTGGCCCGAGAGCAGAGGGAGAAGGAGGAAAGAGAGAGGAGGGAGAAGGAAGAGCTGGAAAGGTAAAGGGGTGACAGTGACATGACGTCAGTGATACCTTGTGTGAAGTCTTCCATCTGAAGGAAGGAGGGGCTGGCAATGTGACAAAAGCGAGTGTTTCAGAATCAGCTTACCTAGGGTTCCTTTGACCAACAAAATTTTTTTTCAGTTACATTTTCTTGCTAGTGACAGTGCAGCACTGATGGAGGAAGGTTAAAGAAAAAAATGTAGCCAGGCATAAGGTGCACACCTGCAATCCCAGCACTTGGGAGGCTGAGACAGGAGGATCACTGCAAATTTGAGGCCAGCCTGAACTACATAGGAAGACCTCATCTCAAAAAAAAATGTATCCATAGTCTTACAGTTTTCAGTAATTGTGTACATTTGAGCTAGTCCTTTCCAGGCTCTGAGCAGTCCTGAAATATGTGAGGAGGTTATGGATATGCGCACAAATGCACATATGTACACACGTATGTACAGGGGGAGGTGCAGTTCTGTCGTCTCTGCACTTACTGTATCTCCAATCTTCTGTTTTCCTCATTAGCTTTGTAATTACCATTTTAAAGCCGTATGGTAAAACTCTCAAAGTAGCTGGGTGAGAGATTTAAATGTTCTGTGATTGCCACACAGTATGCTAGGGACAGTTTGCTTAATTAGTCACTTTCTGGGCCCAATAAGGCTAATGGCAGTATAATTGTTCTTCAAACAAACAGAGCTGCCCCTCTGGGAAGGACCTGAGCCCTGGTGCTGAGCCACCGCCTTGGGTGTGCCCTGCGTGTGGTCCCATTAGAGACCTTGTATGGGCCATCTGCCTCCTGTTCCTGGAGAAAACATTAGGACCTTATTTACTTACCAAGATTTCCCTTCGGGGTGGAGGGCTTCAAATTTGTCAATAAAACGTCACATAATTTGGATTATACAGTCTCAGGCTTGATTTTTTTTTTTTTTGGTACCGAAATGATTTTTTTTTTAAGTTTTGGAAGTTTTAAGTTTTACTTTTTTATTTTTATTGGTACATTGCTCATGGAGAACTGGTACATGTACCTAACACATCTTAATTGTTTTTACATTCCCTCCCCTCCTAATATCTTGGTCCTCTTCCCTCTCACAGATCTAGCTCCCTATTTCCTAGTATATTTCTTACACTTTGCTTTTTGCAGTAAGTAGTTGAGATTAAACCCAGGGTCCTGCACTGAGCTATATCGCCACCTCGTTTTTATTTTTTATTTTGAGACAGGGTCTCACTAAATTGCCAAGACTCCAACTTGTGACCCTCCTGCCCCAACCTCCCAGAGAGCTGGGACTGCAGGCATGCCACAGCGCGCCCAGCAAGTCTCAGCCTTTAAAGATACGTGGTTAAATTGCAGATCCTTTGAAAAAGCAAGATCTCCTGCAAAATATTAATGGTTCCATCTTGCTTCTGTTTCCCACAGGCTGCACAGAAGCTGGGAAGGGAGGATGAAAAATAAAGGGTGGCTTCCCATTTTGTCCCTAACCACGTTGAGCACACCCTGTGCAGGTGTTTCTGCCAGACCTGTGAGCAGATTCTCCTTGCAGTGCCCACAGACTAGGCCTCTCTTCTAGACATCCCCCTCACGTGTCTTTGTTTTTCTTTCCCCAGACAGAAGAAAGAGGAATTGGCTCAAAGGGTGGCCGAAGAGCGAGCCCGCCGGGAGGAGGAGGCGCGCAGGCTGGAGGCCGAGCAAGCCCAGGAGAAGGAGGAGCAGCTGCGCTTGGAGCGGGAGCGCGCAGAGACCGAGCGCGCCCAGAAGCAGGTGCGCGCGGCCTCAGGCCCCTGGCAGTGGCAAGTGTGGTGCTCACGGATCGATCGCAGGTGGAAACAGCCCCTGTTCCCCGTGGGTACCAAGCTGACACCGCTTCTTGTTTTTCAGAAGGAAGAAGAAGCCCGCGTTCGTGAGGAAGCAGAGAGGGCCCGGCAGGAACGAGAGAGACACTTCCAGAGAGAAGAGCAGGAGCGTCTGGAGAGGAAGAAGGTAGCTGTAGCAGGCAGAACCCGGGAGAGAACGGCTCTGGGTCTTTCTAGATTTGAAGCCACCCAAAGACCAAGAGATACCAAGAGACTAGCGTGGCCGGCAGGCACAGATGGGCTCTGCCCTTTCCGCATAAGGAGCCCTCCTACCGCCAAAGCAACCGTGCCCAAGGTTTCAGCCCTGCCCGAGCAGTTGCTTCCAGTTCACAGAGCCCACCCTGCTCCCGGCCTTTGTGAATAACTCCACCTAAGACGAAGCAGTCTGGGTTCGGTTTTCCCCAAAACACAGCCGCTGCTGTTTTGTCCCTGCTACTTCTTGTGTCCCTAAAATGTTCCGGGCTGACTTACTCTCTGTACCCGATCCTCTTATTCACTCATCCTTTCTTGCAGCGGCTTGAGGAGATTATGAAGAGAACCAGGAGGACAGAAGCTGCAGAGAAGGTATTGAGATAGCTGCTTTCTAACTACCCTGGGTGGCTCTTATTTATTTACTTATTTTTTTCACTTCCTTTCGTCCCCGTCCCCCCACCATTGAACCCAGGCCCTCGGGCATGCTAGGCAAGCATTCTCAACCCTCTTTACTTTCACTTTTAAATTTTTCAAAGCCTTTTTGTTTTCTTTTTGGTAGAAAACCGTGGATCAGAGAAATGGTGACATAGCCAAGGGAGCTCTCGCTGGAGCAACAGGTATTTCTGTAGTCAGTTGACATGGAAAATTCTTGAATTCACTGTGGAGCTCAAGATATTCAAAGGTCCATGGTAAGGGTGGGGACAGATGCTCCTAGGCTCAAGCTTAGGTGAAATTGCCTTTGGCATTTCCTCCGAGGGCCTTTAAATTTACACATTTTGACTATTTGTATTTATGGCAAGTCTCAGAAAAACGATTTAAAAGTTATTTTAATTCTGATTTAAGAATACAGATATAATAGAAAATTTATTGAAATTTATTTGGAAGTTGTTCATGTTATAATGTTTGAGATTATTGGTTTCTTGATTTTTTTAGATATCATTTTTAAAAATGAAATTAATCTTAGTGTATTACTCCAATCCAGTTAATTTTGATTAAATGCCCTTTGCATCAGGTATACCTTTCACATACCTTTTGGGGGGCCAGGGAGGATACAGGGGTTGAACCCAAGGCTTTCACACTGAGCAACATCTCCAGCCTTGTTTTTTTGAGGGAGGATCTTGCTAAGTCACTAAATTGCCCAAGGCTGGGCTCAAACTTGGCAGCCCTGCCACCTCAGAGTCCCAAGAGTGCTGGGGTTTACAAGCACGCATCACTATGCCTAGCTTATCTTTCATATACTTTCTTATTTAACTTTCACTGCAGTCTTATGAGATAGAGGATGCTTTCTCTTGGAATCAGCCAGCCCTTCTGTATGCCAGGCGCTGCTGTAGGTTCTGGGATTCAGGGTGAACAGGACGGGCAAGGCCTCCCCTCCAGGGGGCGCTCATTCCCAGGCAGCTGGGGCCCAGCTCACCCCTGGTCGCCATGACTGCACACAGATGATTGGTAGATAGCTCACCATTCGGACCTCTTTCCTCATTTACAATATCAACCTGAAAAGAAAGGACCCACCATACTTTTGGGTTTTTTTCTGTTTAAAAACAAAGGGTACCTCACAGGGCTGGATTGAAGATCAAATCAAATGATTACATGAAAGAACATTACCTGTAAGTTCCAGGGGTTTTCAAGTGTAAGTCATGATTGGTATTTGGTTTTATTTCAATAGAGGCTCTTCTAGTTTCTGTATGTCATGATTCCTTTATTGTGGGATTTTTGTTCTCTTTTATAGATGCTATAATTATATTTGTTTGGAGAATAATCTAGATGGTTGCCTCTTAACCCCACTGCATTTTTAGCATGCTTTCTCTAAGAAGGTCCTAATGGTGGGTATGGGCTCAGGTGCAGCAACCAGAAAGTCACCAGAACAGCCCCGTGAGGCTGTGTGCTGGGCCACACCAGGATTACCTGAAGGGCTGAGGCTGTAGTCTCTGCCTGGCCAGGCTCCTGGTTCTTGTTTTCATTTGTCCCCTTCCTGTTATTCCCATCTGTTCTTTCAATACCCTTTGTGCTCAATTTGAGACTAAACAAAGGCAAGAAAGGGGGTGAACTTTGTCACTTGATAGACCCATGTTCATCAACACTCATATAAATTTGATTTGAGTTAAATATGCTAAAAAAGAAGCTTGAAAGTTAAGTATTCCTTTTCTCCTCATTGGGCATCTGCTTGAGGGGTGAGTGGTGTCACCAGTATTATAACGAGAATTCTAGAGGGGGCAGGCGTCCAGGCAGGCAAGTTCACACCCCCTCCAGAACTCTCCTTGGGTGGGCTGCCCCTAGCTTACCAAACATTGGCAGTTTTAAAATTATCGTTACTTCTTTGCTTCAGTTATCAGACCCTGTGGACCTCTGGCAGTTTTACTGAATGTATGCTTGGTTGTGAAATAACACTGTCTTGCAATTATGTCAGTTATTCTATCACATCAAGCTGAAACCATAAAATGTCACAGTTTTTACTGAAACTCTGACCTGTTTGAAGGGTATAAGACTTTTAAGTAACCCTGTCTGCAATTTGAGACTCAAGCATCAATATTGATTTAAACTGGACTCTGGCGTTGAGCATGGAATAACAAAGTAGCATAGTTAGTAGGCTTCCCTTTATAAAATCCCTATCATTCTAAATATGACTAGAACTAAGTTGAGTTTGCAAGAATCTTTTTTCCCACTTCTGATATCCATGATGATTTGCTCTGACCGCCTCTATGGAGATGTTTGGCATCCACCTGATCAAGTCCGCTCGCTGCTATCTTCATCAGATGCTGTGGTTTCAGTATATACTTTCTGTCTATAGCCAATTTACTGTAGGCAAAAATAACAGTAGCATTTATTTCATTCCTCACAATGGGATAAGCTCTGTTCTAAATTCTCTATGTGTATTAATACATTTAATCTTCACAGCAGCCCATGAGGTAGGTACCAATATCCATGAGGAAAATGAGGTAAGAATTTAAATACCTTGCTCAAAGTCCCACAGCTGGTGAATCACAGAGTCCGGACATGATCTAAGTATGGTGGTTCCTGGGGAGTTGGGTTTGATGATAGAGTATCAGTAACTCTCTTCTCTCCTTTGTTACACACAGAGGCAGCTGCACTTCCATGTATGACAGACTCGCCAGGAAGTGGAGATCCAGGCACTAGCCCACATGTGGTCACTTCACACCAACCCAAAGTGACCATGGAAAGGTGAGTCAAACAACCAGGACCTTTTGCACATGTTACACCAAAGCAGTTTTTACCCCATGAGAATTTCCTGGCCTGGCAGAATTTCAAAGTTTTAACATTAAGATCTATTTTGATTTTGATTTTGATTGGGGTCATTAATATGGGGGGGGGTGTTTCGTTTTGTTTTCAGCTTTTTTGAGACAAGGTCTTGCTATGGTGTTCAGGCTTTAAATTCACTATATGTCCCAGGTTGGCCTTGAACTCATGGCAATCCTCCTGCCTCAGCCTCTTGAGTGCTGGGATTACAGGTGTGCACCATCATGCCCCACTAGGGTCATTAATTTTGGATAGAGCTTAGAACTCTGTACTCTAAGAAAGGTTCAATATCATTTTTCTTATGTCTTCATGGTGAGGTTGTAGTGACTATTAAAATTATAGGAGGTAATTTGTTCATTTTCTTTGTATGTATTTAACCTGATCTGGATATACTGATCCTTTAATAGCATAAGACAATTATATTTTAGACATATATGATACTGAGTCTCAAGTTTATTCCATAATAAAAGTAATTTAGATCAGTATTTGTATGGTAGCCAAGCTTCTTAATGGATAGTCAAATAATTCCTAACAATAATTAAAAGAAGAGCTGGACCAGGCTTGATGGCATATGCCTGTTATCCCAGCCCTCTGGGAGACTGAGGCAGGATGATCTCAAATAGCGTGGTCAACTTAGTGACTAGCAAGCTCCTGTCTCAAAACAAAAACTTGGGAAAAGGCAGAGAGTATACCTTAGTGCAGAGCTCCAGAGTTCAATCCCCAACACTGCTGAGCAAAAAATTACTTTTCTCTTCCCTTGTATTTATATCAACAGTGTCACAAGAGGGTTTGTTGTTGTTGCTGTTATATTCTTCTTTTTTGATACAGGATCTTGCTATGAAGTTCAGGCTTGCCTTGAACTCACTATGTAGCCCAAGCTGGCCTCGAACTCACTGCGATCCCCTTCCTCAGCCTCATAAGAGCATTTTTTAAAATAAAAAAATTAAAAGTTTAGCCTGTGCCTAAAAATCTAGTCATAGAGAACTTGTGAAAATATTTTTAGTGTTTAAAAATTTTAGCTATGGGGCTGGGGATTTAGCTCAGTGGTGCTGCTCCTGCCTCACAAGCACAAGGTCCTGGGTTCAATCCCCGGTACCAAAAAAGAGAGAGAGAGAGAGAAAGAAAAAAAGACTATCTCAAAAATTTTGGCCATGACTTTAAAAATTTTGGAGGGCCAGGGATTTACCTCAGTGGTTCCAGCGCCTGCCTCGCAAGCGCAAGGTCCTGAGTTCGATCCCCGCTACCAAAAAAAAAAAATTTTGGACTCTACTTAAATTATTTTATGAAATTTTCAATCTCTAGTGCAAGGGTGTTTACTACCAATAGAAAATTGAAAGCCCTCAAATTGTTTTCTTAATATAAAAACATACAGTACACAATTTTATAATTAATTGGCACCAGTTAAAAGATAAGGAAAATATTCTTTACCATTTCTGGTATTGCATGGTGATCTGCTCTGAATCCCTCAGTGGAGAGGTTTGGTGCCCACCTGATCGGATCAGCTTTCTGCTGTCTTCTTCGTTAGGTGCTTTCATCCTGCCGTCATGTCTTCCTGGGACAGTAGAGCTTTCTATGGCATACCACAATATCAAAGAGAATAATTTCCTGAGATATCTTAATAAGCTCTCAATTATGTTAAATAAGTTAATGTTATAATTACCTAACATATATATTAAATGGTATATTTTTCTTAAGTTTTAGTTAGATTTTCAAAAAACATCTGTTCCCACTTGCTATAATTTTTGATGTTCAATTCAGTGACTTGAGAGATTTTTAGGAAGGCATGAAAAACACCGTGGAGTGGGCCAGGGATGCAGCTCAGCGGCACAGTGCCTGCCCGGCAAGCAGGCCGTGGGTTCAGTGAGGCCCTGGGTTCAATTCCCGGTAGCAAAAAAGAAAAGTGAAAAAAAAGAAAAAAACCGTGGAGAGAATTCTATTTCGATTCAGAACAGGCAGTACATTCTACAGCTTAGTAAGCTACTGATAATTCTGTCTAATCAATAAAATAAGTTTATGCAGCTAGGGGGGGTGCACACCTGTTACCCTAGCTACTTGGGAGTCTGAGGCAGGAGGATACAAGTTTGAGGCCAGAGTGGGCAAATTGGCAAGACCCTATCTCAGAATGAAAAATAAAAAGGGCTGAGTATGTACAGCACCCCTGGGTTCAATCCCCAGTCCTGCCAAAAAAAAAAAAAGGAGAAGAGAAAAAGAAATTACATTAGCCGACTCTCGTCAGTAGCAAAATCACCAAGTAATTAATCATTATATAAGATTCTAAAACATAATTTTATTATGTAAGATGATATAGGTAATAAACCTGATTTTTTAAGCCTTCTCTACATGGAAAAACATCAACAGTTTGTAGTTAAACCAAAATGCACTGCTATTGTCATCCATCTTTACCCAAAGGATAAGCTATCCTTTGTCTTACGTGTAAGATGATCCTTATCAAACCACTGGGAGAAAGATGAGCATAGAATTACTTTCCCTTTCACCTAACAATATAGGCAGGTCTAGATTAGTATCAGATATAAACATCAAAATATAGGAGTAACCATGGCCGGGGATTTAGCTCAGTGGTTCCGGCACCAGCCTCGAAAGTGCAAGGTCCCGAGTTCGATCCCCGGTACCAAAAAAAAAAAAATATGGGAGTAACCTGAGAAATCCATTGGCCTTCCAGATGTGGTAGCACACACCTCTGATCCCAGCACTCTGGGAGGCTGAGGCAGGAGAAACACAAATTTAAGCCTGGACAACTTAGTAACATGTATCACTTTTAATATAAGTTACTTCTTATAACATAATTAATAAGTGTCAAGAAATAGGAGCCTGGCTCGGATAAGCCATATAAAATGTCAGATTGTAGCCCTGTCCCTTCTCTGAACAGAATTTGCGTGAAATATACAAGAATCTTATATCCAGCCTTTGACTTCTGAATGGGAATTCAAAAGCTGTCGCTCCTATACAAGAAGTCACACTGATCTATAATCCCTGACCCCAGTGGCTCCAGTGTTTTTCATCATTTCTGCTGGTCTCCATATTCCCTGAACATTAAATGACTGGTCATCCAAGTACATGGCACAATTAGTCCCCTGACTGCTAACAGGAAAGAACAGGCGGGCGTGAAGTGGAGCCATAAGTCAGTGGGTGACTCATGTCTGAGTTTGGCCGCTGCTGTTATGGCTGAACACGTGCAGGCCTGCAAGATAACAGGGGTTAAGACTGCCAAGGGAGAAGGGCTTTGGAAATACAGCCCTGCTCTTTACCTTTTGCCAGAACTTCTCCTTAAATTCTCTTTGGCTAGAGAACCAGAACTACTTCCCTGGCTGCAGAAAACCCATGGGTATTGGGAAAGAACAGGAGGACAGGACAAATGTGAAAACCCAGACAGAGAACAACAGGTATTAGGCACATGTGTGCACTTGAGTGTGTGGATGTGTGTGCACACGTGCAGTCACACATACAATACCAAGCTTCCTCTCCCCTCTTCAGTGAATTAGCAGAAAAGCAGCATCACACTCTAACATTTTTATATTCTTTCACAAAAAAAAATATTTTCAGACCTTGCAGTACCTTGTGAAACATTTAGAACAAGTGTCTTTTTTTCCTTAAAAAAATTTTAAGTTTAATAATTAACAAAAAAGTACTAAGATGTTCAAGTCAGAAATGCTTTAGAATGTATTGCGCATCATTTCTCTTCAAGTAAGGAAAGTAAACTTCATTCAGACAAAAAATACAGGCTGTCTTAAAAATTTTTTTCAATGGAAAAGTTGGATTTATATTAGGTTTATTTTACCATTGGGGAAGGCAGTGAGAAAAGGGACTTAAATTCAAACAGTTGGCATTACTGAGACTGCAGTTAATTTATTGAGCATTGAACAAAGTGTGAATATTGTACACACATACTGCTACATTCAAGTAAGATGAATAGTTGCATTACTCTAGCCCTTGTTTGATGAATAGGCATTGTTTTGTTGCAACATAGAACATAATAGCTGGACATGCAATCCCGGCTACTTGGGATATTGAAACAGGAGGATCACTTGAGCCTAGGAGTTGTAGACCAGCCTGGGCAACATAGCCAGACCCCTATTTTTTAAAAATTAGAATAAGAATATAACATATAGTACTGACAATATATGGCTGGAGAGAATAACAGTATTAAGAGAAACTATAGATAATTAAAGATTTGATAGCTTGTTCAATGCACTCCCAAAATAGGTCAAAGATACTTTGTATGATTTAATCAGTGAGGATCAACATGGGGATAGAGGCAGATTTAAGGAGCAAAGATAAAAGTTTGGTCTTGCTAAGCATATACATGCCTGCAAGTCCCAGAAGTTGGGACCCTGAGGTAGTAGGATTGTGAGTTCAAGGCCAGGCTGCGCTACATACTGAGTTCAAGGCCAACCTGGACTGCATAGTGAGACACTGTCTCAAAAAAAACAACAAAAAAAAGTTTGATCTTGAACAATTTACATACATGAAATTATACAAGCATTTTAGAAAGCTAGGGATATTAAAAGAGGGCCAGAATTTGAACAGCCAAGGAATTCACAAAATTATTTATTGAGAACAACACAGGACCAGAGAGCAAGAAATCATGTGTTTAGAGCCAGGCACAATGCCATGTGCCTATAGTCCTAGCTACTTAGGAGGTTGAGGCAGGAAGACCACTTGAGCACAGGAGTTTGAGACTAGCCAGGACAACATAGCAAAAACCCTTCCCCCAAATAAAAGCTTGATATTGTGGCCTACAACTGTAATCCCAGCACTTGGAGACTGAGGCAGGAGGATCGTGAGTTTGAGACCAGCTTGAGCAACTTAATGAGACCTTGCCCGCCTCCCCCCGCCCAAGAAAGAGCAAAAAGAGCAATTATGTGTCTAGCCTTGACTGTCTCAGCAGCTTTGTGACTATGTGCATATCATTTACTGTGGGGGACTTGGCCAAGGAGTGAATGTTTAAACTGTAGGGCAAAAGCACTCAGGCTCTGTGAAGAGTGAATGGTTAAATAAGTTTAGATTAGTGATAACATGTTATATCTGGCTGTTGTCCTTCCCCCTTTCCCAAAAAACTGCCTAGCCTTGAGACAGTTCCTTGCCCAAACTGCTTTTCTTCTTTTGTTCCTCTTACACTGATATTCTAAATAAAAGCCAAAAAGTTCTCAGCTTTGGTGCTCCTCCTGGGAGTCTCCCTAATACTGGGTGCTCTCAGTTGAGATAGCCTCTCTGGGCCTCTTGGTGTTCAGATCAAGTCTCATCTCTGAGTAATCTTTTCATTCTCTGTGCCACCACAGTCACATACTGTGATAATTTATTCCTTCAGTGGAAGTTAGAACCCTCTCATCTAGAAGGAAGCTCCCTCTTAAAAGCCACTCTATTGATGGCGATCTGTTTGAAGTAGTAAATTGTCCATTTTTTAGGTTTTATAGCAAGGCCAGATATTTTAAAAATTGCTGAAAATACAAATACATCATAATTCACCATTTTTGTTAGTAATGTTGTGTTCAGTCTGACTTTTTTAGTATAAAGTAATAAATCTATTCTAAAATAATTTTTGGTTGTTCTAAAAATGTTAATGCTAACTCATTTCTATTTTGATTTTTCAGTTTCCCTAGTGCTCCTAATTTAGAAAAACAACCAAATGAAAATGGAGTATCTGTGGAGAATGAAACTTTTGAAGAAAGTATAACCTTACCCATTGGATCTAAGCCATCAAGATTAGATGTCATCAACAGTGACAGCCCAGAAATTCCTTTGACTCCAATTTTGGCCTTCGATGAAGAAGGGATGCATGGGCCTCTACCTCAGGTAGATGGTGTTAAAACACAACAGACCGCAGGTAAGCTTGCCTCATACTCCCTTCTGTGGTCATCAGAAATATGTGATACCCAAGAGGGGATGAACATTCGAATTCTCCACTGTAACTGTGATCATAGAAGCTGAACTTTGTCTAGGTCCTCTCTTGTCTTCCCACTCAGACCACACACCTAGCAAATGGCCATCAGCCTCTGCTGCCGGAGCAGTGCTTAGGGTCAACATCATTCACTGTCAGGAGGTGCTTCATGTCAGACAAGGCCCCTCCCCATAACAGATAGGCCATCTGGCCTAGTTCTGCCCACCTGAGAAGGAGTTGAGGTATTTTTCATTTTTCTCAAGTCTTCAGATTCTTGAAGACTTCTCTATGTTCTCTTGCCATTTTTCCCTGCTTTGGGCTTGGCAACCTGGGTCAAATGTTATTGTCTTTTTAAAGTTAGATATAATTTAGGTAATAAGAACAGTTCTCCAAGCTAGGATCATATGGAGCCCAAAGGTCTCTCGTGAGTGACTATATCAGTGGTGGTGAACCTATGGCATGCATGCTGCAGCAGGCTGTTTATATCATTGAAAGCTGTTATTGTATTTTTCTTTTAATGTATGAGTTGTTTTTTCTAAACTAAAACCTCAGTATTCAAGTTTAATTGCAGCTTTGGCACTTTGCAATAAGTAAGTGGGTTTTAGGTTGCAGTTTGGACACTTGTCTCTAAAAGGTTCACCATCACTGCTATAGTTGCTGTTGAAACTGAGATTCCCTTCTGCACTGTCTCTGAGATTCATATTTGACCTGAAATCTGTACAAAATGAACAGTAGCTACAGGACCCAAAAAGATCAAGAATAATAACGTCAAACATTACTAACTTGGTAGTCATTGCTTCTCAGCAGCACAATCCCATCACTTCAGAAGTAAGTGAAGTAGATAATCCCAGCTCCCTCTTTTTTCAACCTGTTTGAATTTTGTTGACTTCTCTTCCTAGCAGATCACTTTCTTATGCTGATCTGCATTTGTTTATACTGTTACACAACTGACTCAAAAATTCAGGATATTTAAATGGAGTCAGTATAGAATTATTTGTGGCCAAATTGTTTTGCCTTTTAGAGTCCATCTCCGAACTCGTAGCAAGGGGTGAAAAGGTCAATGTTGAACCACTCACAAGCCTATGTTCTTTTTTTCCTCTAACGTACTGACCCTGGGAGTGGAATTTCACTTTGGCAAACTCTACCTGCAAAAGGAGGTCGCAAAGTCCCTCCCTGGTCTGATTTCCTGACTCTTAAGCCTTCAGGAACAGTCTAATTAATGTCATATTGGTGAACAGATGCCAGTGCGGTTTCCTCCTTTCTCATGTCATGGGTTCGTGGCGGGAGGAAGTCCATGTGGTTTTCTGCTTCTCCTGACAGATTTTTTTTTCTGGTACTGGGAGTCAAACTCAGGACCTTGTACTTGCACAGCAGGTGCAGTGCCATTAAGCTAAATCCCCAGCCCTCCTGGCAGATCTTATTAAATCACCTTTTCAGTTATCTGTGGATCCATTCCCACTGTTCTTACATTCCTTTTCCTTCCCTAGAGCCCTAAGTATTGGGTAATAAGGATATCAACAAATGAATGTTTAAATCCCTAACGTCCGAGAAACCTATAGTTGATATGTGCAGGGTAAAAAAGTAAATGATATGACCTAGGCTGGAGTAAAGGAAAGGCCATGTGTTTTCCTATAAGTAGTAGAATTCACTTAAATATAAGCCTGTGAATCCTGACAACTGTCTATTCTTATATAAGACAATGTATATAACAACATGGTAATATTTTGGAAATGTAAAATATCACTATAATTTTCTTTCATAAGATTTTAAGTAAGTGTCATATTAATCTGTTCCTTTTTCTGTCTCCTCGTAGAAGTTATATGAGCATTTCTTCTGATGCACCAAAGCAGATATTGAGTAAGAGTTTCTATGATTGATAGAATTCCTTTCATGCCACAAAGGAGCATTCCCTCCTCCAGTTTTCTAAAGATTGCTTGACCATCATTTTGAAAAGACTTTATTAAAACCAGCTAATGATAACAGACTGGATAGCTTTTCTAATAATTTCGCCAACAGAAAGAAATAAATGCTTCTTATTCTTCAGTACTTTAAAATGGCTTTTTCCAGTGTGTTTCTTCTTAGCAAATTGATATTTTTCTGCATTCTTTAAAAGACAAGAACATTTGACTCTAAAAGAAATGGGCTGACTAAGCATGATTTTCACAGAGATATTTTGTTCTTAGAAGCTTAACATATAAAATTGGCCAAAAAAATTACCTTTTACAATGTAATACTTGAAAAATAAGTACCTCTTTTCTCTACAAATAGAGTGAATAGAGGAGGTGTTTAAATTAAACCTGTTTGTTTAAATATTGTTGCAAAAAGCTCTATTTGTAGAGGCAAATTAAAGGCAGCCTACCAGGTTCTTTTAAATGCAACTTGTACATGGACGTTCTGCGAACCCAGCTGTCATATTCTTCTTGCAGCTCCTTTTACAAAAGCTAACAAGTTTTTAAATGTGAAAAAAAATTATTTTTTCAAAGCAAAAACATAATTTACTCTCCTCTTAAATAATGTATTTGTAAAGTTTTTCCAAACAAATCAAATAAATTAGAACAATGTGACAACGCTGCAGATTTGCTTTATGAGATGCATTCCTTCTGACGTTACTGTGAGAGAATTGTTACTGGTGATTCAGGGCTACTTCTGACATTTGCATGTTGCTGCTGTCCCCAGTGATGGCGGGGACTTATCTATGCCTTACCTGATCTCAAATTATGGGGACGGAGGATTCATGTTTCTTTAGATAAAAAAAGAATTTGGTTTTGCTCGTTTCAGAGCAATGAAGATATGATGGGATGTGGACTGGGTGACAGTGGGACGAGGGCCTCCACCCACGGGCATCCTCGCGCCGCCTGGCAGCTGGCAGCTTTCACTTTTCATCATTATTCTTCACTTTTGCTGCTGACCCTAGCTGTACAAACTTGCACTTTTGTTTGCTAATATAAATTCAATTTTATTTTCCCATGTAAGAGACCACTCATGACTAAATGTAGAAAGAGAGGGAACACTGAACACTGAAGGAGGAATACCTGTTTTTATGTGGAATGTTTAAAAAAGATAAATTTATACCAGTATAATGTGTTGGTTTTGTTAAAAGAGGAATTGGTTAAGCTACTAGATTGAATGAGACACGATTCATCTTATTGGACTGTTTCTTTTAAATCTAAGCATATGATTTTTAGCAACAATTTTAATTTGTCAAAACATTAATCTGGATTTTTTCCCTTATTCTCAGTTGTCTGTGTACCCACAGTCATTGTATTAAAAAATTCTGTTCAACAAAGCTGTTTTATTTGTTTAAATCGATCTAGCATGAAACACCAAATAAAATATTTGCCATAGTTTTACTTTTAGAATTTTCTTATCTTAACAACTCAAGTTGGCCTTTCTTGTTTGTCTGTGTGTTTGCTTGTTTGTGGAGTGTGGGTGTGGGGGTCTGTGTGTGTGTGTCTGGGTGTGGTTCTGGGGATCAAACCCAGGACCTCAAAAATGTGCTGTAGGGTATTGTTGAGCAATACCCCCAGCCCCGTGGTTGATTCTTTAGTTCTCAAATTGTCCTTGATTTAACCTCGATGACATTTTTCTGGCTCCCTGTTGAGTTGGCATATAGAATAGGTTTATTTAAAATTTCAATCAGTATTTCCTCCCTGCCCCCAAAATAGCAGAGACTGAGTCCAGGGCCTTGTGCATACTGGGTACTTGCCCTACCACTGAGCAAAAACAAAATGACAACAGCAACAAAAAACCTCAATTCACAGTCCTTGAAATCTCTTAGTGCAAGAAGCAAGTCCCACAGCACTACCCCTATGCTGCTGCTGCCAATGGAAGGGTTGGAGTACTAGTATGTACCATTTCTCTCCCTCTCCTCCAACCCTCAAAATCTGTCTGTCTGTCTGTCCATCTGTCTATCTATGAGGCTCTCACTGTGTTGCTTAGACACAGTGATCCTCCTGCCTTAGCCTCCTTAGTAGCTGGGACTATAGTCTTGTGCCACCACACCTAGTTCTCTATTAAAATAATGTTTTAGATAAGGGAAATACAAAGCCAAAAACCTTAAAAGTCCACTTTTTGATGGAAAAATAACATGTTGCTCATGTTCTAACAGGAAGGAACTGAATGGAAATGTAGCATAGTTTAAAAACTAGAAGTATATAGAGATGAAAATGATATTCTCGCCAAAAGGTGTCACCGTCACTATGGTAACTTGTGTGCTTCCTGCACATTGTGGATGGCAGTATTCTCTCCTTAACCTCTGAATTACCTGGAAAAGGTCCACGTTCCACAGATCTCGCGTCTAGGATTGGCACACATCCAAATCCATCTGTGCTTCACTCATGCTACAAAACCTGTTTCTCACAGCTGAGCTAATTCCTGTTGGCTTCTAGCCCCGCTTACAGAGGGAAAGGAGCTGTCCAAACCAAGGCTCCATCCTGAACGCTCCTGGATTGCTGCTGCTGTCCACACTTGCATCCTGCACCTCCCAGGTTCTGCTCCTGCTGTCTCTCTCCTGCCGTGGCACCTTCCAAGGCTGTAGCTTTCCTCCATGAGGGATTGTTTTACACTTGCTTCAGCTTCTCAACAATGGTGAGGTTCAAAGTCCAGAAACTGGAAGAAACTACAGAAGTCACCGAGGCAAAAAGGGTACTCTGCCCAACGAGTGGCAGGTAGGACTCAGCTGTGTCCTGGAAGGCCATGCAAGGGTAGCCCCAAGGAAGGCGGGACACAAACATCACTAATGTTGTAATGTGCTAGAGAGCCCTGGCTGTCAGAGCCTCTTCTGTCCTGTGCCCATTCACAAAATCCAATCAATCCTTCTTACAAAGGAAGTGGAGTTATTCTCCTTTTTGGCACAGGATGGGGGAGAGTCAGACATTGTATTTAGGATTCCATCCCTAGAAACTATATATCAGTGGTGGTGAACCTATGGCACGCGTGTTATTGTGTTTTTCATTTAAGACAAAAGATGTTAATGTAGAGTTGTTTTTCTAAACTAAAATCTTAGTATTCAGGTTTAATTGCAGTGTTGGCACTTTGTGATAAATAAGTGGGTTTGGGTTGCACTTTAGCACTCGATCTCTAAAAGTTTCGCCATCTCTGCTTTACATTCATTAGCTCCTTTAATACTCACAACTCACAACCCTTTGAAGTTGTCACTGTTATTATTCTCTAAGACATACAGAAGTAAAAATATTTGAGAAAGTACCTGTCCAGGATTGAAGCCCAGATCTCTCTGCTGCCAGGACCCAGCTCACAGCCATAGTTCCCTCTATCATGTGGCCTCTAAAATATGCTCTGTGTCATGTGAAGAGAATTATTTTAACAGTCAACTCTTAAAAAAAAAAAAGCTGAGTCTGAAGGTATACCTTAGTTGTTACCAATTAGGAAAGTGGAAGGGTAGGATAAACTCCACGGTGTTGAGTTGGATTTGTAGGGATTGGTGTGGTTTCTAATATATAAAGAAACATGTTTCTGTTTGTATACATAGGTGTATGTACACGTATCTCTTAGCTCTGTCCACTTAAGAGATCAGTGACACTAGCAATGAATGTACCCAGGGCCTGGAAACTGGTTACTAAATACCATCCTCTACTAAATGAAGCCAGAGCTCTTTGCAGAAGTAGCTGATTACAGGGTGGGAGCAGGGAAAGTACAAGATGATGTTAATAGATCTTATGTTGCAGAAAGTTATAAGAATGTGTTGAAAGGACACAGGAAGACACTTAAAAGAACTTCTACTAGGGGCCTGGGATTTAGCTCAGTGGTTTTGCTGCCTGCTGCGCAAGCTCAAGGACCCGAGTTCAATCCCTAGTACCAAACAACAAAAAAAGAACTTCTACTGGCTAAATGTAGGGCAAGTAAAGCGCCAAAATAATAGCAATAGTAATTGATTATGAAGCACTGAGTATATGAATCTTTGGGGCTATACTACTATAAATTAATACATAAAATAAGGGAGAAGAAAAAGCTCTAATTCATAACTGAATTCTAGGCAATTAATATAGGGAGAATAATGTAATTTAAAGCCATTTTGCATTTATACTAATAATTGATTCAGGCAATAAATATCAGTGAATTCCACAAATAAGTGAATGAAAATTTGATGAGCAATAGCATACATATAACTTTGTTTTGTTTTGTTTTGTTTTGTTTTGTGTTTTGTGTTTTTGAGACAAGATCTCACTGTCTGACCCAGGCTGGCCTTGAACTCACTATCCTCCTGCCTCAACCATGAGTGCTGAGATTACAAGTGTGCACCACCAGGCCCAGCTCCTAGCACTAATATTCTATAAGATAAGTTTCTAGGTTTCTTTTCTGGGGACTGGTCCTCGTGGTAGAGGGTGAGGGTGAGGATCAGCTGATATTCTATATTTTAACAGTTGCCCCAAGGAATCATCAGGTTGAGGCCTTTTGCTTGCTGTGGCCGTTTGTGAAGCTTCCATAAGGCTGATGTGCTAAGGTGACATGTGGACTCCTCCCCTCAGGATTTTGTCTTCACCTGTGTGTAGGTAAAGTGCCCGGGTCTCCCTGATAGCTACGTTTTGTCTTGCAGCCCGACCCCCAGGGCTGAAACAGAGCTGCTGTCTTATAAGCAAACCAGGAAATGGTCATTTCCTTGACTTGTGGGCCATGGCCACACAGCCTGGCCCCTGCCTGAGACAGTCCCCAGTTATGCCTGCCCTCTTGGGGTCAGCACTGATAGCACCCCTTTTACTCTACAAAGGGTCTCTGTTTGGACACAGATTATATCATTAGGCTGCTGGAACCCTCTTCCTGGTTCCCAGAGGCGATTTGTCTCCTGTGCACTCTCCAATTTGTCCCCATCACTAGTCAGCAGATCTCTGACCACACCATGTTGCACTTTGTAACCAAGATTTAAAAGAACCACCAGAGCGTGAGAGCCATTTATAGTCTCATTAAACACAAGCAAAGAACTGCCTGCATGCTGAAGTGGCTTCATGCGTTCTCTTAAAATCACACACACACACCATTGCTCTGCAAGGCACTTTATCAAACCCATGTTTGTTTGTTTATGTGAAGTCCGAGTGCCTTACGCTGATGGCTCCTCTCCATATCGTGATCATTTGACTCCGAAATATGACTCTCTGTTGCCCTAAAGCTCAGATTGGGTTCTCAGCCTGCTCCCTGCTTCTTTCTTGATAATGCCATCATCATTCACTCTCCAGATGGAAGTGACAAGGGTTGCCATGACAAAACCAATAGGCTTTGTTGGCAGAGGCTTTGCATGTAGCTGTGTGTCTCCTCTGAGGACCCGCCTGTCTGACAGCCTGGAAAGTCGCAGGCAACATGACAAGATGTTTTAAAAGCATACATCCAGGCAATAAAGCCATGAAAGCAGTGTCCTTTTTATACTTCTTAAGCCTGAAGAATTCCAGATGTTTAATTATAAAATGTTTTCTTCCAATTCTAGGCACAAGCTCTGCTGGTATTATTTTTTCCAGTAACCATCCTTTGCATGGGGCTATTTTGTGGAAGACTCACTGTATCCATATGATTTCTTTTGGCTCGTGATTTCAGAAGTTTCAGTCCACAGTCAACTGACTCCATTGCTTTTAGAACTCTAATGGAAGGGGATGGAACAAAGCTGCTACTGAACTGAGCCTGAACTCATAGTGATCCAGGAGGGGATCAGGGCTGAGAACTAGTCCCCAAGTTCATGCCCCAAATCCCACTTCCTTCAGTTAGGCCACACCTCTTAAATTTCTGTCACCTCTTTTATAATACCATCAAATTATGAATCTACCAATGAGTTAATCCACTGATAAAGCTTTCACAATCCAGTTACCTCCCAAAAGCCCCACCTCTGAACACGAGAGACTTTGGTGGGGAGGGTGGCATTTTAAATTCAAACCATAACAGAGAGTTATACAAATAAACTCCATAACTCACGTTGTGCTTGACACTTTCAGGATGCGTTGGGAGAATGTTAAAGAAAAATAGATGTGAGAACTAAAGCACCCATGAGACTGAGATGCCTGTTCTCACTTCAGCCTTCAGATAACTTCATGAATAAAGGCAGCACATAAAGTCAACAGTCATGGGCTATAAATATTAACTTGATTCCTCATTTTGTTCTCCCATGCTGTTCCCATGGAGACTCAGCTCCTCAATTTATCTGGAATTCAAACCGCCCAGGGGACACGACTCTGCAGTCTTCCAGAGAGGCCTGGTGGCAAGGCAGGTTACCAGGCTTCAGCCCCCATGTGAGCTGACTCATTCCTTTCCCTTCTCCCTCTTCCTCCCTTTCCTGTGTTCATTAGAAACTGGCTGTGAGATGGGCTTTGTAATGAGATATGAACACAGGGAAGTGCTTCTCCATTTC